ATTTTCTTAACAAATAACACCACATCTTTTCATGACTGGGCTCCTGGCGAACACATGTGACTAGAAAACATCGAGTACAGCCGACTTAATGGGTGGGCAATTGACAAAAGAAACGCTATGAATTGAGACTATTCAATCTGAGGGGTATGGACGAGGAGGGCATCGGCCCCCTCCTCAAGGCCTTCACAGTTTCAACACAACTACTAGACCATCCAATCATGGCCACATCAATTAAAACACCTCACTTCCATCTCGGCTGAGCACCCGGTTGAGGGTATGGCTGAACTCTCACCGACCTCCTTCTCGTAGCCCTCTGAGGCCGTGTCGCCGCCGGTGTTTCCGCTGCCGCTACCGTAGGCGCTGCCGGGGTCTTCCCAGTCCGAGCCCGTGTCCGCGCAGCCGGCCGGCCAGCGGCGGCACCATCTGAGCTAGGAGCAGTGGTAGTCCCCGTCTTCCCCATCACGACCGCAGATGTTGTCTTCGGCTCCCTCTTCACCCTCTTCGTCGCCGTTGTCGTAGCTGTTGTCGGCCGCGTCGGTTCCGAGCGAGTCTGGCTTTCCACCCTTCGAGCAGTCCGTAGGTTGCGTCCTTTTATCGGACTTGACGGCACAGTCTGGGGCGCTTGCGTCGCAGGTGCAGTCGCCGTCGTCGCAGCTCTGCCAGTCTTTGCCCTTGTCCTCAGCGCCGGCGCTCTCTTGGATACGCCGGTTTTGTGAGCGGAGAGAGTAGGAGCAGACGTCGGTGCCGGCGCCAACACCAATGGCTCAGAAGATCCCTCCGTGGTCTCCGCGGAATCAGTCGGCTCCGATTCAAGGTACTCCGTCTCCATGGTAGGGTCCTCCTCTGGCGGAAGCTGGTCTGTCAGCCTCCGTGCGGCAGTCCACGCCTGGACCCTTTTCCGGCGAGCCGTCTCCTCGTCTTCCTCCTCGTCAACTACGTCGACATCGACATCAACGTCGACGTTGACGCTCTCACCAGCTAACCTCTCCGCGACCCTTAGCTTAGTCCACGAAGACTTCATAATCTGCCGCTGCGCTTCAGACTGCCGTAACCACTTGCAAAAGCGCTCATTCGACCTCTTCCACCTCCGGTCTTCCTTCTCCCTCGCTTCTTCCTCCGCATCGTCATCCTCTTCCATAGGCACAGTCACCGGCAAAGGCGGCGCCTCTTCGACGTGAAAACTCGGCGACTGCTTCCTCAACTGCTCCCGATCCTCCAACGCAGTCACAGCCCTTCCGGCCTCAAAGTACCGCCCGGCAGCCGAGATGGCCATCTCCTCCGCTGCCTCGACGTTCGACCGCGCGAGTAGGCACACGTCGCCATGGGTGCCGAGATCACGCCGCACGCGCTCCCTTCGGTCCTCGGCGGCCGCCAGCGCGGCGCGCAGTACGTCAATGGCCTCGTTGGCGTCCTCGAGCTCCTGCATTTGCCGCTTCATGAGCGAGAGCGACGTCTCGCAGATGTCGCGGGCCCGGGCCAGGGCCGCGTCGGCCTGGAGCTTGTCGCGCTCGGCGTCATCCCGCTCCGTGATGGCGCATCGGGCGTCCGCAAAGTCAATGTGCTTGCCACTGTGGCCGCAATTCCGGCAGACGTCCGGGTCCATCTAGCTGGACTGTCACTGCTCCAGTAGAGCAGAAATGTACACTCTTTTCCGAGGTCACGGACACGTTCGCGCTTGACTCAACCCCATGTCAGCTCACTCAGCCTTACTCATCGAGATCGCAAATGAAGGCATTTGTTAAGTAATGTGCCCCATGGGCAGATTCCCGCTGCGATCAAGCACGGGGTTTGTCTCACCTTTTGGTGGTTCGAAGATCTTGTTTCCCGCCGGTGGGGATATCAAAAGGAGGCTGTAGATGATGTAGGTAGGGGTCCAAAGGTGGACATTCGGACAGGAAAGGGTCCTAAGGTGAACGGGAATGAAGGAAAAGAAACCACCTCTCTCTCACAGCTTAATGGGAAGCACCTGGGCGGCGGGGGGTCACGATCCTCTTCATCATTGCAGAGGACCCCATTTTGCTCCAGGTCCAGGGGGATGGATGTGGATCTTTTGGAAGAGTTAGCGATATTGAGTCGACTCCATTTGTGCCCAGGTGAACGGCCCAAGGTTCGTATGAGGATACGTATGGACTCTCGTATGCAGACACGTAATGCGTCATTGGGTGTTGGATAAAGAGTCAAGAGTCAGTTGTGCCGTCAGATGCAGGTCTGGCAGCTCCCTAAACCTTGGTTTATGCTGAAGATCGTTCACAAACATGTCACGCGATGGCATCATGGTTGTGCTCAGTGCTGAGAAACTCTCGAGCAAACTCTCAAACCCCAGGAAACTACGGAGTACTCGTTTCCAACAGCCTGGTGCTGGTACCCATGCCTGCCGGCAGGAAGAGCAAGAAAACCCTGGCTGCAGCAGCTTCCTGCAAGTTTCCACACCATTGCATGGCTTTGATACCGATTCGCTCATCCTTTCTCTGATCTCATCAATGAGAAATCCAAGTTTCGGGGGAGTGGTTCGTTTCCAGCCGTTGCTCAGCCAAAGAAAAGGAGAATGGGGGCATGGAGCCATGGACGGATATGTTCTTCATAAAAAAAAGCAAAAAGACATGGGTTGAAGAAAAAACTGACTTTGAACGTTGGGTTTTCTCTTTGCAGTTCTCCACCGAAATTGCTACCAAATAGGGGAAAGCGGCTCAGGTGGCACACGGATACGGCGGGATTTTCATGACTCTCACTTTCGGTTACATTGTGACCCCTGACAAGGAGCTCCAGTTTCTGAATGGGACCGCCCCTCTGAGGGTCTTGTGAGCGTCAGGGGTTGGAGAAGGAGGAGATGAGCCGATCTCCAAGTTCCCAACCGTTTCTGTTAATCCAATATCCCGGAGTCAGCTTGGTCTTTGTTTCATAAAGTTGTTCATAGCTATAATACAAGTGTCACAAGTGTACAAACTTTCCATTCTAGAACCCTTCCACGCAGGCATCCCGGGGTTTCGGGGGTCTCACGGTCTCAACCCGCGTCTCACTCTAGTACGGCCTGACCCGCCGCTTCTGCCGAGTAGCACCCGTAGTTCGTCGGGCCCGGCCCGTTGCCGCAGTAGCACCAGTACTTTCGGACTTCTCGATGTTTCTGAATGCGCGGCCCAGCGCCTCTTCTATCGAATCATCAGACGCCGGATGAGAGCTGTCCTTGCGCTTCATGCTGTGTCGTGTCGCCCTTTCATTGGTATGCCCCCACAGCAGTCTGCGGGGACTCGACATCGTCTCGGGTGATGAAGACATGGGCGGTGAAGATGGTGGCGTTGGACGCCTGACAAATTCCTGCTCTTCATCATCCTCTATCTTGATCGAGTGAACAGGTGTGGAAGAGGCCACTTGAGTGGGAGTCTGAGCCCAACTGTCTTCTTCGTCCTGTACTGTGACACGACGTGTACAACCTGGAGGAATGCCGACGGATGGTGAATTTATACAATCGCGGAGAAAGTCGAGTTTAGGGTCGCGGATTTTTTTCCCCCGACGATATTTCCAGTCATCTAGAAAGTACTGGTATCGCTGCTCTTCATCCTCTTCGAGCTCTTCGGGATCGGCAAACTCTTCCTGCTGCCACCACCTAGCCCGTTCTGATGCTTGTGCTGCAGCGCTTCCTGGCGCTTCCAGTCTCGTGTCTCGGCTGGTCGGTCGGGTCGCCAGGTACGTCTCAATCGCCAGTTCCTCGCGAACCTCCGCCACGTTCAACAAGTCGCACATTGCCATCCTCTGTCTATACAGTGACACCAGCATCTTTTTTCGGTTGATGCGCGTGAGCACAACGCTGTCGCGAGTTTCCTCCGCCTTGCGCAACGCCCTTCGCAGAGGGCCGAGGACGGCTTGCGAAATTACCATCTCCTCCGCCATCTTGATAGCATCTTCCATCTCACGCACGGCAGCATCTGCTAGTTGGCACTCCCCGTCGAACTCATCGATCACGTATTCTGCATTTTTGATAATACGCTCCAGTCGTTCCCAAGCACGATCGGTCATAACTCGCGCGGCGACGGAGGATTCAAGTTCCATCATTGCGCAATTTCTATGCTTGATGGTGGTGTGATTGCCGCTTCTTCCGCAGCCTCTGCATGGCGTCGGATCCCATTCTGCAAAGCCACCGATGTATTCTGACTTCCACAGGGGTTGCATCTGGCAGGCGTGAGCACACTGTTGGTTTTCCACGGGAGCGGATCCTCTCACCTTGAGTGGCCTTCTCACCGTAGCCCTTACTTTCTTGATAGTTGTGTAGTATTAACGAATGGAGTAACCCGAGTCCGAGTGAGTCTTATTTGCTCTCCTGAGTATACACTCACTTTAAACACCTCGCTGAGGATTCGTTACGAAAGTGTGTTGGACAAGAAAAAGCAGTGTAAGTGGAAGCGTGTGGATGCGGGGGTTTAAAGGCCTAGTGCTCGGAGACGCGGACGCGTCAAGCAACGACGCGTTGAACTGCGTTATTGCACGGATCCCCTTACCAGAGTTTCACAGGGGCACACTTGATCGCTGGCACCAGCTTAAACTCAGACATTCAAAGCCACATTCCTGTAGTAGGTAGGCAGGGCTTAAGAGCAGAGAGTGTAAGACAATTCGCAGGTTCTACGTGTTATCATAGGTAAGATGACGCGTGTATCCTACAGTACTGTCTTTCCATCGGGGGACTCAACTCCACCATGATGCCCGGAAGTTTGGTGGGGTGATCGCCCAGAGGGCCGGGCACCGTTAACTAGGGCGCACCGTATCAGCGGGAATTGCCTTCCTTCATACATCTCCGTCTCAACGCTCTCGTCTGTTGTCGAGGGTTAGCGTCCATCAAATGGCGGAAAAGCGCCAGTGGTAGCGGACTCTGGCGCATCAAGGAACAGCCTTGCATTCGGCGAGGCAATATCACAGGTAGCTTGATAAAAATGATCCAACTGTCAGGCTAGTATTAGATGTGTATGTGCCATCATCCAAGGGGAGGAAGCTCAGCTACTCCGGAGCAAATGTCAACCTCGAGAGTAGTACGGTCGGTACCGATGGCGTTGACCACAACTCATTTGTCTCCGTGGTCTCCTCGCCGATGACAATGTCTGGCCATTGTCGCTGACACCAACTCTCCGATCAAATTCAGGTTGCGCATCGAGGGTGGCCAAAACCCAGTTCGCGACGGCATGATACTTTGTCGTCCCTTCTCTCATCATGCAAGTCCATTCACCCTCACTCGGCCGAATGTCGTCGCTTGCGAGGTAGGTCGGCGGAGTGATACTGCAAACCTCCCGCTGAGGTCCTATATTTTCCTTGTTTTCTTCAGAACGGTCGTGATCCTCTAGGCTGTGGTCCGTGATGCGTCTAGGGTCAAGGGCATACATCCTCCTCGTGGCTTCATGCAACCGATTAACCAAATGACTAGACTTGTTGATCGTGTCTCGGTGGCCGTCGAAGTTTTTTGTAAAGTCGGCCCAGCGGGTATTATGTTCTTCACGCGTTTTCCTACGGCGATTCCGCGCTTCCTCAAGTGCGGCTTCAAGAGACTTAATGTAGACGTCCTCGCGGGCCAGCGTCTCGTGCAGACGATCCTCGTCCTGCTTGAAAGCTTCCACCCGATCGTTGATATTTTCTCTCTCAGCTATTGCCACTTCGCAGTCCGCAGCGATGGTAAGCACCTCTTTGCGATTGGCGCATCGTTGATCTCTGACGGAGAAACACAGTTTGGGGTAGACGCTGCCACAACCGCCGCAGGGTACTCGACTCCAGTGGGCCTTAATGCTCTCTATTAGACCACTCATTGCGGATTCATTTGGAAATTGCCTTGCAAGATGTTGTTGAATAAATTGAAGAATATCGATGTATTTAATTCAAGGTACAGCAACGTAGTTCGCAGCGCGTACAACAGGCCAGGTGACTTGTCAATGTGAAAGGTTCAGCGTATTGGGGCTTAAGTAGGAGGGGTGAGATAATCGCGTCCACGCCACACAGCAAGACGCGATCAAGCTACCAACGCGTTGCGGGGCACTGAGAGCGCGGGGCACATCATCCTTCCCAGGGGCCATTTTCGTCAGTGCTCGGGTTACATACACTCTGCTCAACTCCTTTACAGATATTTACAGCCATAAGGTACAGCATGACTGTAGCTTGACTAAAGTCTGACTGATGGCCTGGCATCTTCTCTATCGGCTTCGTGATTGATGGTGCAACAGATGGAGTACATACATATGGGCGTTTGGGGCTACTCTCACTACGCCAAGTCCTCCCTTCCAACTTACATGTGATATTGCGGCAATAATGTCCTGTAAATGGTATCAAGAGATGGTTTCGCGGTCAATGCGTACCTGATTTATGTTGAATCATTTTCACTTCATTACGGTGACCTTACCATGAGCTCAACAATCATTCCGCATGCGACTTTAGAGTCTATTGAAACTGGCAAGCACCGCTGTGCAGGGGTCTCTGCGTGCGCCCATCAACGTCTCCTAGGCTACTTACGAGGTCGCCAAAGCGACAATACGGTTCATCTCTGAGGCATCCGACCCTCCAGTGAGAGGCTAGTGGTGGATTGCCCGCAGCATCCTTGTAAGGCGTTGATTGGATTAGAAGGATACATGTAAGTATTCATGCAGTAGGAAAGAGTCGTCACACGTTTTGAAAGTTCATGTAGTTATGGCAGAGGATCTACTTTCTGTGTATGTATGTAATAACGAAGAGCTATTTGAAGCGGGGGCAACTCGCCGGTTGTCGTACAAAAACGGAACCGTAATTGCCGGCCAGCAATTACGCCTTATTACCACACCGGTTCACTGGGGGTGCCTACCTAGTACATAAGGTACCTATGAACGTGATGAGGTTCGACCATAAAGGTTGGTGCCAGAAACACGGGAGCCGCCAACCGACCTAAATCCATCTACAATCAAAGTCACTAAGCAGCTCATTGTTTGATGTTACGCTCCTTCAACAAGGTCCTACCGGTAGTAGACCTTATCGTGACATTCCACCTTGAAAAGACTGAAGCCCCCAGGATTAGCATAATGCACCCCATGTTTACCATCCGTTTCTCTGCAACCTCTTGTCTCTTTCGCTCTTTCCTCGCCCCAACTACCACTCGGGTCGTACGTCCAGCTCCATATCCTAATCAATTGGTACACACGCCGGTTCTCAAAACGGCGTTTGTATCTTCGTCACGAGCACGGCTCGCTTACCACCTCATTGCCTTGTCACATTTATCTCTATACATCCGGGCATATCGCTTTTTTCCCCATTCGTAATGGGTCAATTTTGGGAGTATCTTATCACAGGACTATCTTCCCTGTGTGTCAGCATTTTCAATTTATTGCCTCCATACCGCCAATCGCCAACACAGAATGGCGATTCGATTACACCCTATCAGAAAGCCAGCAAAGCCTGCAGATGAGGCAAAATTTACACCGGTTATGATCAAAAGTCAACAAAAAAGCACGCCGGAATCAATGCGAAAGAATTCCTGGTATATCAGATTCCACTCAAGATACAGCTGCTAGTCATGGAACGTCTGGATCCCGTCGACATATTCTGTCTGCGACAAAGTTGCTCCATGCTCTTCTCGGCATTCGAACATGCTTGTTTCTCTAGCCTTCAAAAGCCAGTAGAGCTACCTAAAAATCATTCAAAATTCGAAAACGAATTAAGTCGACCATTTCACATCGCTTCCGACCATCAGTACTCAGTCAATCATTTGCGGCATGGACAAAAGAAACTCAAGGGCTGTGGCGATTTGCAAAGCGGACTCAGGCCAATTGTCGAAATGTAGTTGAATGATCCCTCTGCTAAAGATAAACGAGAGATCGCACACAGGTTAAAACTGAATGCCGTTTGCGAAGTTTGCTTGAGGAGTCAATCTACACCTACCACCCTGGTTTGTCCCAAAGTTGACGATTATCAGGAAAAGGGGCACGTGTTTTGCACCAATTACAAAAGAATTCACCGCAAGGCTCTATTCTCTGAGAATCAGCTTGTCAAAGATCGCCCGATATGTATGGGCTGGGAGAGAAAGATCCAGATATGCTCTCATCAATACATGTCCCTGCTTGGCATATTCAGATGGATAGAGAGAGCACCCGCTCAGAAGGGCTCGAAGAGCCTAAGATTGTCATGTCAGGTTTGTCAAATGCCCTTCCAGTCAAAAGGACGGGAACACTCCCAAACGCTATCTATCTCCAGCAACCACTTCTTGCGTTTACACTGGACTATGGTGGTATGAGATGTACAAAGCGGACAGCTCGTTAGAAAAGACCTCATTCGGCAGGGTCTAGATGCCGTAGAGGAGCGATATGGCAACGAATACCTTTCTCCACATCTTACTTTCAGTTCCCACCAATTCATGTCGCCTTTCGACTGGGAGCGTTGTGTCTGTTCCAGGGAGGCAGGTATAGAAAGGCCGGACTGCTATCAAAGTAAACTTTGGCGTCACATTCGTTCACAGTGTTGCGCTTGTAACAGCTCGGAACACATCGATGCAACAGGTATCCTCATGATGTCCAGTGTCTCTGGCAAAAGAGGCTACTCTTTGCATCAGTTCGATTGGAGACTCTGTTATGCGACGTATAAGTGGGGAGTTGATTCCAATCGCATCATGCTTACAAGAGATCAGTACTTTTGAGGGATTAGTTTGCATCATCAAAGTACTGACGCAAGACAACTCAGCCTCACAGGGAGAATGGACGTGTCGAAGTTGGTTCGCTACCTCGATCCGACATCGTACCATGGCAACACACATATGCAACAGCACAAAGGTTGCATCAATAAGGCTTGTTCGAACTCTCAGAATCGCCATGAGTGTTTCTCAGCAGAATTATGGGTAATTTAGATTGTGGAGACACATGGCTTCCGTGGTGTAAGGTAAGTAGTTAGTTTAGACCATGGTGTGGCATCGCGGAGTCAGAGATCAGGAGGCACACAACTAAGTAGTTGCCTTCTCATAGCCATTATCATTGGTTTCCTTATCGCCCCATGGTTCCTATAGAGTAATACGTGTGGAATATGCAGACAGTAGAAAGAATGGTAGCATCAGTAGTAGCAGCAATAGTAGTATTAGGGAAGCCAGGAATAGAGTCGACGTGTTGAGCGGGAACCATCATGGTGTTATCACCTAATTTGAGCTACTTAAGGTAGGAGGCAATCCGTGCTCATGGCCCCTCAGAATATGCTTGGAAAACAAACCTCAAGTGCCAGAAAGCATAGATTTCTTATGAAATACAGAGTTGCAGCTTTCAGAGCCGGAACCGTTGTCCCCAGCCAGGTGATGACAAGATTTCAGGAAGAATCACACCCGGAAATCTAGTGCCAAGGCACACATCAGATCTGGCCGTGAGTGCGGTCGCAACCTGGAGCCCCTACCGTGGCACCTTATCCGTAGTCTGTAGAAACTTAATACCATTCAAGGCCGACGGCTGTTTCTTCGGAGACAAGGAAAATAACAGGATGTCAGTATCTCACTAGGGGCAGGAGAATGCGATGTGTGCAGAATGGAGAAGCGCAGCTAGCACCACGTTAAGATTTGGCAAAGAGATCAACGCGTTTCTTACAATGAAACTGTCAGTGTAGGAGCTCAGATTCCCCGAATGACAGTCAATTGCAAAATGATTGGACAGGTTTGAGGTCTCTTCAACGGGAGGTGGTCACGTGTAGCACGCCATCGACTCCGACGATGGTGAATCAATTGCGCGAGCTGCAGGCAAGCTGACGCGACACACTAGACACCCACACAGTTGCATCAGCCCCAGTTATCAAATGTTCCTTGTCTTTCCCACAGTAGCGATACGTCGACTGTAGGAGTTCAATCACGATGACAACTTTTCGTGGGCAGAAAAAAAGAATGCCCATCAGGAGTCAATCGAAGGTTGTGACGAGGTTACAAACTGGTGGCATAGGGCTTAGCTTTAACGCGGAGTCCAAGGAAAACTAAAGAAAATGTGGCTACCCTTGACCAAGCTACGACAAGTGCCGCAACTAACAGCATGGCATATATGGACTTCCCATACAATTTCTGCATCTCCTCGGAATACAACCGTTTAAGCTGCTGCAGGAGGGTCAGCATTACTGAATAGGTAGCCTGTCGTCATCTACCTGTGGATCTCCCTTCGGTATCAGACCGAGATTTGGAGAAAGCATGCCCCTTTCCTACCCATTAGCACCCTCAAATGCTCGTCACGCCTTGTGGCGACGTTTGATGACAGCTTAGCTGGAGAGTAAACCGTTCGCTCGGCATGCAGTCCATGTTGAAACCCCTGCTGGAAGAGATTTATCAAGACACACTTATATAGAACGGTTCGTCTGTCCTGCATGCGGGCTGGGTTTTGGTTTGAACTTTCGCTTTGTGCAGACACCGTACGTCATTGTTCTATCTTTTGACGATGAACAAGATGTCCTCGCAACATCCAGTTGGGAAGCCGTCACCAGCCGGGTCCGATACGTCGTCTGACCATGGCGGCCTGGGTTCCAAATCCGCTGTCGACGATAAGGTTACTGTCGATGCCGCGCCTCCGACAGCGCCCGCGCTTGCAACGCAGCAGACTCAACGCATGGAAGCGGCAATGGGCGATGCCATCCTCCGCTTTTTCAGGATTCGGAAAGGACCGAAGGCAGAAGAGTACGACCTCGACGCGGTGCGTATATCGACTCATATCAACTTGCGAAAGACCCCGGTGGCGTCTAATATGCTCAACAGATTGCCACGCAACCGAGTATTTGGGATTCCGAGAATGTCGAGGAGTACAAGAGCCTCTACATCCACCCGCAATGGGAGAACTGGACTGCTTTTGATCCCAGTTTCCGATGGACATGGAGAGAGGAACGTGCTGTTAGGCGTAAAGTCGACTGGAAAATCATGGTACAATGACCCCGACAACTCGAAGAAGAACGCAAGCTGATCACTCACAGGTCTGGGCTTGTGTCATGTTCGCAGCCCTCAACATCGACCGGAACAATATCTCCAACGCCGTTTCCGATAATATGCTTGACGATCTCGGGTTGACGCGAGGCGACTACGTGAGTTAGAGGAGACTGGCTCCTCTGATACCCGCTAACCCGACTTAGAACCTTGGTCAAACAATATCCCGGGTTGGCTTTCTTGTTGCCGAGCTTCCATCGCAGTTGATTTCCAAGCGGTCAGTAGTCCCTGCCTGCCAAATTGTGAATTTGTACTGATTGAGCCTTGCAGTATTGGACCCGATCTGTGGATTCCCATCCAGATTTGCCTCTTCTCTATCATCTCTGGAGCGCAATTCTTCCTAAAGGGTCGAGCGTCCTTTCTTGCGACAAGATACCTCATGTAAGTGTGGTTGTTGCAGCTGAAAAACTAAATTACGTGTACTTACGACCCGGTTTCTAGCGCAACCTTTCAAGGAGGTTTCATCCCGTAAGTCTAGGCCCTTGACAGGCCTAGTCAAGCTTTTGACTAACTCCTTGGCAGGGACACTATCCTCTACTTGAGTTATTGGTACACAGGCACTTCAGTCAGCAATCCCGTCCCGGACTTCTGCACTAAAACACCCTCCTAATGTCTGTTTCCAGCTTCCGATTCGCCTGGCCTGGTTTTGGATGTCTTCGCAACTAGGTATGTCATTCTACACTCCTCTCGAGCTCCTTTCAACTCTGACTGATAGGCTTTTCTAGTTGACATCGGTGTTGGATTCGCTGCTGTCGGTCTGGTTTCGATGCGCGGCATTTTGGGATACGAGGGCTGGCGTTGGTTGTTCCTCGTCGAGTAAGCCCCCCCCTAATGATCTTGCGACGCTGTTAAGTTACTAACATCACGTTACCAGAGGTGCTTTCACTTGTAAGTCAACAAATTTCGCTCCACAATGTTTCGGCTACATCGCTAACAATATCGCTCTAGTCTGTGTCGGACTGTGCTCGTTCTTCCTTATGCCTCAATGCCCTGCCAAGACGAAGAGTTGGTGGAACCCCAAGGGTTACTTCAACGAGAAGGAGGAGAAGATCATTGTCAACTCCGGTACGTCTCCCAGGAATGTAACACCTTTTTCAAAGCTAATAAACTCTGCTAGTCATCCGCGACGATCCCCAGAAAGGCGGCATGTACAACCGACAAGGTCTGTCCGTCAAGCAGATCTGGGAATGCTCCAAGGATTACGACATGTGGCCATTGTACGCTCTTGGCTTGCTCTTCGGCTTGCCGAAGTACCCTGTCAACCAGTACCTTACTTTGTCGCTCCGAGACCTCAAGTTCAACGTCATCCAGACCAACCTGCTCTCAATCCCGTGGATCATCGGGTCAAGTATCACCATGTTGGCCATTACGGCTGCTAGCGAGCTCTGTAACAATCGCAGTTTCGTCGCCATGGCTGAGGATGCATGGTTATTGCCATGCTTCATCGCCCTGATTGTAATCGCGAATCCAAGCCCCTGGGCTTACTTTGCTATTGCAACAGTTTTGTTATCCTTCCCTTAGTAAGCGCGGAGGATTCCGCTTCTTCCTTTCTAATTGCTAATCTCTGCCAGCACGCATCCTATTCAAGTTGCCTGGACAAGTAGGAATGCCGGATCCGTCCAGAACAGAACAGTGTCCGCATCGTAAGTCTATAACTCTCATATAGGTGATGTGAAATATAACTTAAAATATGCTTGTAGCCTGTACAATATGTGGGTTCAAGTCAGTGGTATGATCGGCGCAAATAGTAAGTAGCTCTCCTTCAGACTCAACATAACAGAGGATGCTGACTAGCCAAGTCTATCAACCAAGTGATGCCCCTCGGTACTTCAAAGCCAACAAGGGCCTATTGGTCATTTGTATTTGGATGTGTGTAAGTAGACAATCATCCTACCTCAAGATTGAATCTCATAGCTCACATGTTCGCAGGTTGTACAATACCCCTTTACCTACTTCTACTATCGGTGGAGGAACAACAGCAAAGCCAAGAAGTGGGATGCTATGACACCAGAGCAGCAACACGACTACCGTGCCAACACAACGGATAAAGGCAACAAACGGTGAGATACATGGACGCCTGGTGAACTCATCCTCTTACTAATCCTTCATAGTCTTGACTTCCGATTCGCCACCTGATCAATCCGATCGATTCAGGTGCTAAGATAGATGGTATTACAGGATTTTGAGTCGTCTAGTGGCTGCTTCTTTGTTCGAATGGTGTATGAAGACAGGATGAACACATAGTACTCTGTCTGCTCAATGATTCTCAGAGCTTTGGTGTCCTAGCCTGGCGAATGGACCAAAATTCAGCTTTCAGTCAATGAATTGATGTCGTAAATATGGCAGTAGGGCGGGCTGTGATGATTGAACTTAGACAAGTACGCAATGATATAGACACCGATACTTTTGATATTGAAGATGCTCTCAAATGGAGATTCCTTTTGCTCTTCCCTTCATATCCGATGCTTCTCCTTGGGTTTTGGATCTCTTGCGCGCAATCACAATTGTTCCCCTCATTGCGTTTGACTCAGCGAACCAGTCAAACACCATTGCTGCAACCTTGAACTTCCCCGCTGAGATCCCAAACGGCTGTAACGCTTCACTCTGACTGTTGATATAACTGACGAGACCAGAGAAGACATGTTCCGTGATATCTTTGAAATGGATATCATCTTCATCATAACCCGCGTCAAGGAGCTGCTTCTTGTAGTCTGACACTGTAACAAAAGCAGCAGCAGGACAACCCATCGCCAGGCCAATGAGGTTGACGAGGAACCTCTGTCGTAAAGACGCTCCGTCGCTCAGTATCAAGTCAAAGGCCATGAACGAGGCATCGAGTGTCTGCGCGGCATAGTTGAAGATTGGCTTTCTGGAGGGATAGAAGTGGTACAGGCTGTCAAGCGCTAGAACCCATCGTTGTTGGTCGGCGCTGTCCTCCTTCAAAGATCTGATTGCAGACTTTACGTGCGCGCCCCAGGTGTCGGGGTTGGCAGCGTCAGCGCAAAATACCTCAACACTTCCATCTTCTGATTTGAGCTTTTGAGCCTGCAATTGGGCTCTATTTGAGGCCAATCGATACTGGGACTCGTTGAGAGTGAGCCCTATGTATCGATAGCTGGTCACACCTCGCTCGTTAATTAGTAGTGCAAGCTCCAGGGACTGGTCACCACAGCCAACACCTAGGTCTAGAATAGATATTGCCGAAGACCGAACTACATCTTTACAAATCTGAGCTTCTTTGAGCACCTCCAAAAGCAAATTGCGACAGGCTGTCTCGAAATCTGTAATGCGTAGGTTGTCGGCACTCGTCCTGGAACATAATGGTAAGTCAGTCGTGCTCTGACTAAGTCAAGGAACATCATGAAATGCGATGGATATGATCCAGTTCAAGTGTAAACTAAAGGGAGGCCAGGTATCGGAGTGATTACGAAGAAGGGTGTAAAATGAGGGCGGACAAACCAATAACCCATGTTCATCCACATGGTGGTGAACGGCACTTTGAGGTTCAGCTTCCAGTGATCATTGTCGTAGACGTCTTTCCGCCGAAGAAAAGTAACAGTAAATGCCAAGGTGACTATCAAGATTATAAATGTGCAGCCAGTCGCGCCTAGTAAGACACCTTTCCAGAAGTCAGGAACGGCGTCAATTGGTAGTGTCATTGTATGAATAAGAATGAACCCATGTCCGCTTGTGAGATGAGGGTGAAGGAAAGTTAGGTCTGTGGTCTAGTGCTCAATAATAAGGTACCTTAAATGGAAAATGAGACGTGGGAAGACATTTGCAGAGAAAGCTGCCAGGTGTAGCTAGACTTGGCGCCAGCTGTAGGCAGGAACAGCGAAGGATGCGGCAGGATTCGGCGCCGGAGGTCCGATGTCACTCCAACAAACCAACAAAGCCCTCCTTGCTGTTTTTCTTCACAGGGACTGCGTTTATTTCAACTTCACTTCTTCTATTCAAACACGTTTTTGTTCTCATTGCGTACCTTCACTTGACTAGCCGTGCCGCCAAGGGACTGCAACACCAAAATCGTCAGCGATTCTCATCGCAGAGACAACGCACCCTTCAAGTAGAACCATTCCATCCCAGCACCACGCCCCGGTTAACCACACATTATCTTGTCCATTGGTCCAGTCACCCATGCCGGCGGTCTGGTCATTCTTCTTGTCCAGATTCCTGTCCTCACCCATGATCTTTCGGATAACTGCCCTACTCTGACACGTCCTCAAGGTCCTCGTAAACCTTGCTGTCCGCAGTACCCTCTTCGCATCGGCCTGTACGTTAAGCGGGCAAGTGCTCACGACTGTTCCTCCAGGCATTGTATGTAAAGCCTCTGTCCGCGCAGCTTCTTTTGCGGAAAAGTCGGTTCTGAGACAGATAACTTGGGGCGGCATGACATTTCCACGATGATGTGAACAAGCTTTCGGATGTCTCCCTTCATCCTCCATGAGAGTGAACGACTGGCTTGGTCTTGCATCGATCGGACGGAGAACTGAGCTCTCCACGCGGATTGTTGGCAATGGCTCGAGAATGTCGCGTAGGGGTTGGTAGATCTTGCCAGCCACATCCGGCGACACAGCGAGAATAACCCGGTCGAATACGTCATCCAAAATCTGTCCAGCTGCGTTCTCCGTCGACTGCCAGCGGAGTCTCACTCTTCCATCAGCCGTTGAGGCCACCTCTGCAACACACGCTCCTAATCGGACGTCTTCCATTTCTTTTGCCAATCTTCCTTCAACTTGGTGGACACCGCCGCAGACAGTGTAGTGCTGTTGTCCATGCGAGCGTTTCTTGTACTCGACAACGTCACTGGCAGGGAACGCCAGAAGCTCAGCATGCGTACACGTCGAAACGCTGCTCATGAGTGGGAGAAGGTAGTGCGTGGCATACCGTCGCGGTAGCCATATCCTTCTCAGATAGTCGCCAAATGTCTCTCCCCCATCAGACCCCTCAGTCAAGGGGTGCACCATGAAGCATGCCACTGTGAACCAGAACTGGCATATGATCAGGCACAGTATCTCTACGAAATGCGCCAAAATCCCGCGGTTTCCCGGCCAAGGTGGGACTTGGTGCAAATTGGATGCGTGGACAAAGTACTCGCCAGGCACTCCGCTGGCGCCATCCAGAGTTGCCTGGTTCTTTCCCGATGCTATCGTATCAGGCTTGCGTGCAGGCAGTGATTTGGCGAATGAGAACAAGAAGCGGATGGGATGATACGGGATGCCCAAGTGGTCATACATGCGCATCACGTTGGGATAATATCCTCCGGCGAGTGCGCGCATTGGAAGGTCGATCCTCTCAATACTGCCCGAGCTCTCCTCTCGAATTGCAACCGATGCTGAGTCGAAAGACAGGCTCTCAGCCTACAACAGTCAGTCTACGCATTCGCCCACTACTCCGATCTAGGATCCAATTCACCTGTTCAAATAAGGTCACTGCATATCGTTGTTGTTCGTCATTTTGCAAGAGATATGCGGTGCTAAGCCCGGCCAATCCCGTTCCGACGACAGCTACTCGGAGAGGGGCCTGTCGACTCATGTTGCGATGAGTGAGTCTGAGAGCCTTATGACCTTGAGCCAGCGCTGACATGCCCTGAGTAAGTATCCTTCTCCTCCAATGCGGCGACTGGTTTCCAGCATCAAGACACAGCGAATGCAAAACTCGACGAAGAAACTTTAACAGAGTCGGCACGCACGAATTTGCGACAGGAAACCCACTGCGGAGAGATAGGGTATTTCTCAGCTCACCGCACACTCACACCACTCGCCGGGTACGTAATTTCATCAATGCACACCGTAGCCTCTTCGAAATCTGCTACTCCCCGGAATGAAGCTCCCCTCCGGCGGGTACCATCCCTGAGAAAAGTGCCGGATAGTCACATCACGCACCCTTGAATGGGTGGGTGTCTGCCGAGGTCGAAGCGCCGTCGGGGCAATTCCACTTGGTGATCGACCGTCCGGCGTCGACGAGGCTTCATCCCTGTCGTTGTGGTACAATATGGCAGCAGTTAGCCATTTATTCGGGATCCGACAGAGCTTGAGAAACCTTGAGACACAACTTGCGCCAGCAGTCGGTTCTATGTGAGCTACCCTCTTTTCATCTGCGACGAGACAAACGTCCAAAGACTGTCTTTGACGGCGCTACCTGCTGAGTATACGACCCGTCGTAGCCCAACGACTTCGAAGAGCGAAAAGTCAATTTGCACGTGCTTCCTTAGTGCCATCAGACGGTCTCATCTGTTCGGACAGAAAGTTGCACCGACTCGATCAATCTGGCTTGGCTTCTAGAGTTTTCCCAGGCGACCCCACACACTATGATGACCCTGGCTAAACTAGCTCGACTGACTTTCTTATGGTCCCCGGCATTCTCGGTCATGGCTCCTTTGGGGAGTTCGCAAGCGAAGACTCATGTTCATTGACATCATATACAACCCTCGGGTTGCCTGGTTATTCTGTTGAGCCGATGAGCTCCAAAGAACTGGTTTCCGACCAGCAGATAGTCGCAAAGAATGGCAGCCTCTAATGTCCGTCCGCTGGCTATATTCACCGGCTACATGGTCCTAGCCGCCGGGCTCACTGCAAAGTCTATCGGTATTATTCGCAATCAATGGCGCGCCTCGCTTTCGCGAAATGGGACAGTCGCTGCGCCAGCCCACCGTCGCGCTCTTGTTGTGTTCAGCGCGCTCGCGGCCTTGAGTCTCGCAACAACCTGGTATCACATGTTTCGCTTCTTCGAGTGGTCATATGGCCAATGGGTAACGACACAAGCAATGGCTAGCCTCGACTCCACCGAACTGAGGCTCGGCGAGTGGCTGTACGACACCTCTCTCTTCAAGCAAGCTTGGGCGTCAACCCTTGAGACTGGCCCGAGGGCCTGGTGGTCGTTGCAAATATTTGGGTTTTGCGCTAACTGGAGCGCCATACTTGCGGCTCAAGGTGAGCTTATTCTACCTTAGTCAAATCCGGGCCAGCTGTCAGCTTTTTATTGCAACTCCCGAGAGCAATACTAATCTAGGTGCATCATTAGCTCAGAGAAGGTGTATCTCACACGCTTGGATATTCGTACTGCTTGGTCAAGTTGTTGCTATCTCCTTTGCGGCAAATTTGTCTTTCCTCGCAATACTTTGCAGCGAAATCCCAGAACGAAAAACCAATGATGGCAAACGATATGGCCAGACTGTGTCTTCATTCTCTATTCATTCCGTCATTCTCTTCGCTACCCTGTTGTGGGCAACGTCGATCCCCTCCGCCATCAATCACCCCAAGTTCTTATCCTTGCTCCTTGGTCCACACTTGCTGGCATTCGTACCGTTGCTTCTGAATAGGATCTTGCCGGCGCCAATGTTGGGCGAGCCAGCGTGGCACTGGAAAGTTGCATCGATGATATGGGTGCTGGTCGTAGCCACACTTGGGGCCTTTGACAGTGGTGCGGGCCTCAAGACTGCGCTTGTAACGTTGTACGAGCATCCTGCGGTTAGCAGTGTTGGATGGGATGTTATTTGCTGTTGGATCAGCTTCACGGTCTGGTCAATCATCGGATCTTCCTGAAAGGAGGGACCATATGTGTGTACTGTATGATTGGAATGGCTGTTTGTACTCACGGCGAAAATTGGACATGACTTCCCAAACCTCAAAACTTGTAATGATTGCCTCAAGAGGGAACCCAGACAAGCTGTCACGGCGTAAGGATAGGGAGGAGAACGGCGCTTTCGACGGGGTTGGATTCTGGATGCACAAGTAATCTGTGCCGTCTAGATGAGGACTTGAAGACGCTTTAACGAGTACATGAATTTACACCAAACCCTTACCCCCGCCGAGCAGCATGTTCACCCGCTCTCTTCCCCGAAAAGACACCATCAGCAAGGGAAAGCCCGCTCACATAACCATTGGCGCAGACTCCAGCAGCACTTCGCCCAGCAGCATACAGCCCATCGATCTCGCGACCATCTCCGGTCAGGACTAGCCCAGTCTCGCCATCCACCCGCAGCCCGCCGAGCGTCAGTCCGTTGACAGCTTGGATTCCCTCAGTGCGACAGGAGATATCGACGCCATAGAATGGGGCTTTCGATACTGGGCTGCAGTAGTCGGCTTCCTTGTGCATCGGATCCTCTTCTCCGCTAGCGATCGCATCATTGTAGGTCTTGACTGTCGACGCCAGACCAACGGCCGAGATATTGAACTTTCCAGCCAGCGCTGCCAATGAGCCAGCTTTCTTGTAACCCCAATAGAGCCAGTGCAGTCTCTGAATCAAGAGAGGCATGTTTGTCTGCTGGAAGACCTGTCTCTTTGCTTTCGCCCATTGATCCGAGTCGAGAATCAAGAAGCCTTTCCCCCCATGTTGTCTTATCATAGTATCGCTGAGTGCCGCCCCATAGACATCCTCCGCACCCATACGCTCTCCATCCTGAGATACGACGACGCCTTCGAGCAGGGCCGTTGGAGGATACAAGAAACGCCACGCAGACATGTTGTTCATGTTGGAGACTGATCCTCCCGCTGCATGCCCGATCTTGATTCCAGATCCGTCATCGCCATTGGTGCCGAGCGGAGCGACCTGGGAGAACTCGGGGACGTGTTTCTGCCTCATCTCGGGGTTGAATGCAAAACCGCCGGCACTCAAGACCACCGCTCCACCATGTATGGTCTGCGAGGTGGATTGCTCTTGCCAGATTTTGCTTGCCTTGCGGTGATAGACGTCGGCTAGCGGAGTAGCCATGAGCTGGAATTTCTTAGTCTTTTGCGTGAGGCCCTTGTGCTTTTCGAACAGCGAATTGGTACCCGACAACGTCTTGATCTCAACTCCGCTAACTTTGTCCCTCTTGTCATTGAGAAGAACCTGCTGAACCTTAGTCGCCGGCTTGAAATCTACTCCCAGACGTATTGCTGAGTCAAAAAGCGCCTGCCATAGCGCAGACCCAGAGAACCCCGGCTGCACCATCCGATGTCCCCTGGGCGCCGGCTTCGACAGTTTATTGAACGGGTACGACTTCTCATTCCCAGAGAAGTAGAGGTAATGCTTATTCGTCGGATAGCTGGTCTTGTAGGGACACAGCGAGGCCTCGAATCGTGCGCCGTGCTTCTCGAGCCACTCGAGCCGCGCCACGCTCTCGTCGCAGAAGCGCCGGAGAGTCTTCTCATCGACTGCGTCCCCCGTTTCCTCTTTGAGATAGGCGAACATGTTCTCCGGGGTATCTTGGCCGTAGCCGGCTTCTTTTTGTTGTCGCGTGCCTCCGCCGGCGTAGACTACACCTCCTGATAGCGCGGACGCTCCACCGCCGTGGGCATCGTCCAGGAGAAGGACCTTGGCGCCTTTTTCTGCGGCTGCGATGCTTGTGCAGACTCCGGCGATGCCAGCACCGACGACAATTATGTCATGTTGCTGGCTGGATTTTACTGAATAGGTGGTGTGAAAGGAACGTGTCTTGTGGTTGCATATGGTAGCTACTCTGAGGTGCGCTAAGTGGTGGCGGGTAGTGAACGACGTTACGCGTGAGGTAAGCATCGCAGAGGCTATTGTTCAACGTCAGCAACAAGGACAAGATCATTGGGGCACCTGAATGAGAGACTTGGTAGTCTTAAGTAATTCGCAGATGCTGACATGCAAGCGTGATGCGCTCGCTTCAGAATAGTTTGCTTCCCGATTGGGGTTTTCGGCTTACATGTTTGTCCAACAGGTTTGGTGGCACATACCAAGTATAGTGCCTAACGGGTAATATATCTGCTACCTTAACCCAATCCGACGCGAAACATTGTTGGGTCAAGCTATAAGTTCGGTGCGTTGAAGACCGTGGCGTCTGGTCATGTTCAAAGCATCGTGCCGGACGCCGCTTAGCATTCCGACCAACCGCGGCACGCGTGGACTCCGCGGGAGGATCGTCGGAGCATGCCACAGCGTCGGAGAGTGCCAAGTCTTGAAGTGCCGAAATCCTCTTATGCGGGTTGAATGCAACGCTACAAGTCACATCACGGAAGCCGAGATGAAGCCTCTTTCGTCGGATTCTTCACGAAGATACCAAGATGGTCGACTCTCTATTCCCTCAAGTAACCTGTTTGACGCCATACTCCTAGCCACCTCTCAATCATATCCACCTCAATCCGCCTTCCGTTCCTTACGGTTCCCGCATCGAATTCCACACCCTCGCCATTTCCACTGCCTTCAGCCATGGATTGGAAGAAGCCTAGGAGTTTCAGAGCTGGTAGCTCCTTCACACCCAAGCTCTGTGATTCTGCAGTCGCTTCTAACCTAATCACCCATTTCCTCATACTAATGCGTTGAATCTTCCGTCCGCAGGCCTCTTCCAGCATAGAAAGCAGCTGCTCCCATGAGATAGCGCCCGGGTTGACAAGATTACACACAGCATACGTCGTCTCGGCAGTGTTGTGAATCACTACATCGCTGATGGCTTCAGCACAGAAGTCGACGGGCAGCCAGTCGACGTTCGTCTGTAAGCTCGGCATCGCATCAAGGTGATTCAGTCCAGCCATTATCATGGTGGGCCACATCTCGGTATGGTTCCATGCCCCTAGCCTCGAGTGACCACAAAGCTGGCCGACTCGGAGGATGCGAACAGGGACATTGTGAGTAGAGGCATAGTGCTGCGTGACTTGCTCGATGATGAACTTGGACTGCGCGTATCCGGTGGGAAGTGTATTTGCAGGATCCGGGGAGAGTGGAAGCTGTGGCACTTTGGTGCCGGCGGGGCTTCCCATTGCTGCGGCGACGCTGCTCATGAAGTTGAATGTCTTCTTGAGCCCCTTGAGGCAGAAAGACATGAGATGCATGGTTCCTAACCAGATATTCGTTAGCTCAGAGGCTTCATGTCGGCATAATTAACCTGGGCTTCACCTCTCAGGCAATCGTCTTCGAACTGTTGAATTGGCTGATTGAAATCCAACTTCCAAGCGTTGTGCATCACAGTGGTCACCTCATTCGCCAGACGTTGATACATCCGCTCGTCCAATCCTAGCTTTCCGTCCTTCATGTCATAGCTGACGGGTACAATCTTCTCGCTTTGATGAATGATCGCAGGATACCCTCTCTCTTTCAAAGAGCCCCAGACGCGAGCTTGAGGATCTGCTCCTCGTACGGCGCAGTAAATCTTTTGAACAGTTGCCATCTGGACCAGGACTTCCAATAGTGCGTTGCCCAGAGCACCGCTGGCTCCCGTGAGATATATCACTTCTCCCTCGTTTTCCAAATCTTCCTGTTGAGCTTGATTGACTTGCAAGTTGTCGATCTCAATGTTCATGCGGCGGATGGTCGACCTGATCCACTCATAGTGGTTGCCGGCCGCCGAGGCATTGCTATTAAGACCACCTTTGAATAGCTGAAGGAACTCGAGAAGCTTCCTTGCCGTAGGATATTCGAAGATGAACATCAAAGGGAACGCCCCGAACGACTTCACAAGTCTCGATCGTATCTCGACGGCGCGCATAGAATCGAGACCGAGTTCGTACCAGTTTTGGTCTGGCGCCAAATCTTCCACAGAGAGACCGAATACATCAGAGACAACGGTTTGAACGATTTCGAGATCCGAAGTACCGGAGTTCCTGGAAAGAAACGGCTTGGAGGCCTTATCAGACTCGAGCTGGTTGCCTAGGAAGGAGTTGTAAAGTTTTTCCACCCTATCTCCATACAGATCCCAGGCAATTGTCCGTCGCACGTTCCCTTTTGGAGTGACTGGCAACGTCTCCTCATTTTGCAGAATGAGAACCGTTTGACGAGGGATTCGTGAGTACGTCGGAGAATTCCTGTTGCAGATATCCACTACTTTCCACACCTCTTCAGCAAGATCAGGTTCTGATATGGATCGCTTCTCCACCTCAGACCAGTCGATCTCAACAACGACGGAAGGGCAAGGCTTTCCTGTGCCAAACACTGCCGTCTTCGCAATAGTGCCCGTCTTATCTTCTTCAAGCGCCATGGCGAGAGCCGTGGCATGTGTCTTCTCTCCATTGCTGTGCACGAGAATGTCATCTCTGCGGCCTTGGAGGACGAAATACCCGCTCCCTGGGGGATCCTCGATGAACAAGTCCCCCGTACGGTATGGATTCGGCGCCGTCTCCTCAAGCCAGAGCTCAGCGGCTAGAGGAAACCCTCGATATACAACGCACTCGAAGAGGTTATCCGCAATGGACTCCATGCCTACATGTTCTGACTCTGGGTACAAGTTGCGGAAGCGGTACACGTCTGGATTGTCTCTTGTGTGAGGTATTGTCCGAAGAGGCGGACCGGTTTCTGATGTACCATATGTTGTTTTAACATTGACGCCGATGTTCTGAAGTTTGGACAGCATTGAAGGGGACAGTGGAGCTCCGCCGGGCTGTAGGACCTTCAAGTCCGTCAGAGGAGTGTAGTCTTTGGTGGTGAGAGTGATGTATTCGTAGAGGTCCTCAATGACTGAGGGTGCGCAGTGCAGGCAGTCGGGCGGATAGCCGAGGCTAGTCAAGGACTTCCATGCAGAAAGTATTGAACTTGGGGCCGGTGGCCATTGTGTTGGAGGTAAGGAGGTAGGTAGACCGGTTGGGAGTCCCGACAGGGCTATTGACAACCCAGCTACGTGAAATCTAAGATGAATGAGCATGCGCAGGAGGAACAGCAAGGAGATTCCAGGTCTCACAAGGGAAAACACAGATACCAGTTCTCAATGAAGAACTCTGGGAGTAATCTGTACATCCGTGCAATTTGACACAGACTCCGATTCGTGTGGATAATTGGTTTCGGCACTCCCGTAGAACCAGATGAGTGGATGATCATTGACTGGAGAGTCCACTCATCATCAGTCTCAAACCCTATGCAGGGTTCTTCAAAAGCCTCTGGTTTGTTTTCTCTCAGCTCATCTAAGCTGATGAGTTTCGTCAACGGGAGTTGACCCGGGCTTTCCCCATGGAGTGAAGCTTTATTCGCCTCGTCGATGATTATTGCAATAACATTGCACACTCGAAGAAGATGATCTCTCGTTGCCAGAGAGTTCTTGTTGCTAAGAAGTAGGACCCGAAGGTGCAGACGATTTAGGGCGAATTGGGTGATGAGATACGAGATCGAGTTGCCGACGCCGAGGAGAGCGACAGTGGGTTGCTGACCCGTTTCATTGGCAGCACCAATTTCCTCCCGAAACTGCTTAGAGTAGAAACTCGATGCTCTAAGGTAAAACTGATTGAGCCGGGCCCAGTCCAGCACTTCGAAGGAGTCACCGATAGGATGTATGAAAGCCGGCTTGGAGGGTTGAGTTACAGCATTATGCTCAACCAATGCCGCGACACTCGTCAATTTCGGGTCAGAGAATCTGAAAATTCAGTGTTAGAGTCATTGGAACTTCAAATCATAATAGAAACGAGGGTATTTGGGACCTTGAGCTATGAGGATGTCCGTGGAGTTGCCATAATTTCTTCAACTGCTCGTCGGCATCTAGCGCAGGGAAAACGGTCGGGTCGACGGCAGCAATTGATGAGGGTGACTTCAGGTCAGACATCGCAATCGGTGCCATCTTGCCAAGGGTTACACGAAGGGAGGCCTTCAATGTTGTCTTGACTCTCTGAAGCTGCTTTTCAGTCAGTCAAGCTCCTTTCATCGATATCCAATAAGTATCACACTTCTACCGCGGACCACGGGAGAATCGATTGACAATATTGTTACGAATCGTCACTCAAGATCAATCCTATCGAGTCAAGTAATCTCTCTACAACTTGAACTATGCTGACGCCGATCAGCTGATTAGATTATGCAACGCCTATCATAGTCCTTGTTGGAGTAACGCAACATCAGAAAAGGATAGGCCAATGATATCCCCGATAATCGGTCTGATAACAACCCACGCCTATCGCGTGCCTATCACAAACATTATGGGCGTGGTGCGCATCCGGAAACCGCACGACCATGGCGCTCGGCAACGACGATAGCAGGATAGCTGAAAGGGAATCTGATAAGCCTCGTCTTAGAAACGAGACCGGATGCGCAACAACGTAAAAATAATTAGACATCGTTTGTTCCCGCTCCCCGCACGCACCATTGGCAACTTCAATTGTGCCATTGATCGCCCTGACATTCCCTTTTCTCCTAAAGGTGAAGCCCACGTATAGGTAGTTGAGACTCGAGAACTTACTGCGGTTACACGCATAGCAGTCGCTACAACGATGGGTCTACGGAATCGCTTGGAGCTCCGCTCCGAGAGCGCCGACCTCGGCACGGAGGGAGGCCGGCTCTCGAACAAGGACATGGATCCTATTCCGATGGGCTCTCCGGAGCGCACCTGGGGTTGGCCGAGTTTGCTCGGATTCTGGATCGCCGAAGCCTTTTCCATCTCGATGTATCAAGGTAAGTGTTCACATAGGTAGTCCGGAAACAAATTGGTGACTCGAGATGGCTACTAACATCCGTTCTCAATCACAACAGTCTCTTCAACCTCTGTCACAAAAGGCCTGAACCCGGGCCTTGCAATCCTTGCAGTGTTCATCGGCCACGTCCTGGTCTGCATCCCGGCAATGCTAGATGGCTACGTCGGCTGCATCTTTGGCATCAACTTTCCCGTCTTCACCAGAGCTTCCTTTGGCCTCCGGGGTTCATATGGCGCCGTCTTCGTCCGTGGTGTCGTGGCTTGTATCTGGTTCGGCACTCAGTCGTTTCAGGGTGGGCAGTGCCTGCAGGTCATGATCTCCGCCATCTGGCCGTCATTCAACAACTTCCCGAATCACCTCGCCGAAAGCGCGCACGTCACCAGCTCCGAGCTGTTATGCTTTTTCTTGTTCATCATCGTTCAGCTGCCACTGCTCTGGTTGCATGTAAGCAGTCTAAGGTACATGTTCATGGTGAAGACTGTGATTATGCCAATCTTTGGGTTGACGTTGTTCATCTGGGCCATTGTTGCTGGTATGCTCTTCATATCCAGCCAGATCCAAGGGCAACTGATCTGACCTCTTCTCAGGCAAGGGCTTCGGCCCGACATTCTCAAAACCAACTCTCATCAAGGATGGCACGCCCGCTATTGTCGTATTCTTCCAATGTGTCACCAGCGCTATTGGCCCCAAGGCAACCCTCGCCCTCAACATGCCCGACTTCACGCGGTATGCAAAGGAGCCCCGACAGGTCTTCTGGACGCAAGCCGTCGGCCTATGCGTCTTAGTCACGATGTGTGGTGTGCTAGGTGCGACCGTCAGCAGCGCCTCGGAAGTCATCTACGGCAAGGTGACCTGGAACCCCCTGGAAGTCGCACGGCTGTGGGACAACCGCGCTGCTCAGTTCTTCGCGGGTCTCTGTTGGGCGTTTGCGGTGATTGGCACAAATATCAGTGCCAACAGCGTCTCTTTCAGCAATGATTTGGCGCTATGGTTTCCAAAGTATATCAACAATAGGCGCGGAGCGTATATCTGTGCCGTGTTTGGCGTATGTGCCGTGCCCTGGTACATCCAGTACAGGTGAGTTGTGTTTGTGTGTTGTCCAATGGTCGATCTTTTGTACTAACCTGTGGACTTCCTGGCAGTGCTAAATCCTTCTCCTCTTTCCTTGGTGGATACTCTCTCTTTCTGGGCGCCATTGCAGGCATCATCATCACCGACTTTTGGATCTGCCGCAAGCGTGCAATGGCAGTCTCGTCCCTCTTTGATCCGCGAGGCATACACTACTACACTTTTGGCGTCAACCCCCGAGCGGTTATCGCCTTCATCTTTTCCATCATTCCCAACATGCCCGGTCTTGCCGCTGCTTGTGGCGCCAAGGGAGTTCCCAAGGGGGCCATTTATCTTTACAGCTTGAGTTGGCTTGTCAGTACCTTGGTGGCTAGTTTCACGTATTGGGTGTGTTGGAAAATTAAGCCATTCCCCGTAGACGATAGCCGGGAGCTGTTGTACGTTGACGGATACCCCACGGTGGAGGATTCAAACGGGTCAGAGAAAGGCTTGGAAGGGAAAGACCAAGACGTGAAGACGGGATGATGTGATCTTAGACTCATAATACCATACCCTGACGCTAGATAAGTACACGTTATCATCTAATTTTATTGGAACCACATGCTATGAGCTTAAGGCCCAGCCTACTTCCCTGTGGTTCTCGCGAGAATGGTTCACGGGCTTGGATGTGAATCATGCATGTAAGTTAGCCCATCTCACAAACCCCGGTTCGAGGCTGCCTCAGCTGCCGCGGGTGTCAGTTCAATGAGCTTGCCCAGCCCAGCCACGAAGATGGCATCAAGTCTCAGCAGGCTCAAGTTCAATAAGTCGCAGCTTCTCGACTTGATCCGCAATAAGCCCCTCCACTGAATCAAAAGAGCAAGGGCGTCTTCAGCTTCCGATAGCGTCGGAGAGAGAGCAAAGAGCAAGACAATGAAGTTGCTCGCAATGGCAAAGTTGACACGGGAATCTAGCCATGGTCAGCTATCTGGCGAATACTTCCGGGGAAAGCACGCTTCTCGTGTGGGAGGCTGGGGCAACGCTTACATGAATGCCAGAAAGCTTCAAGATGATGAGCCTCCAGTTTCGCGAGAAAGTCATGCATCTCTCGCGCGATAGTCATTGAGCCGGTGCGCAACGCCGTGCGGGCTTCGGTTGGGACCTCGATGCTTTTCGGTCGAAGAAGGGCCTTGAAGACAGCAATCTTTGCGGTGATGTAGGCGAGTTTCAGACTACCTTTCCCATCTAGGCCGCATTCTGGCAGAGATGCTGAGGGCTGTTCCCCTACGTCGGGTCGGATTTGCAGCCACTCTGCAAGCTCAATCCTCAAAGGCCGAGCAACTTCGAAAGTTGCTTCGAGCGACTTGGAGAGAGCTCTAGTGGCTTTGATAGAGCTACAACGGTCAATGAGCACCAATTTTAGAGCAGTGACGCTGTATTGCGATGCAACTTACAACATGTTTTGTTGAATCTTGGACACAATCTCAGTTAGAGAGGCTAGGTGCAGAAAGTGCCTACACACCAAGGGCCCTTCACCTTCACAACCAGGAACATCACCAAAATCATCCGGCCCAAGCGACGAGACGTCCCAATCGCACTCCTGAATGTGCGAACTTCTGCCAAAGTTAAGGCTCAGCCACCTGTCCTGAACATACACCGCCCAAGCAAGCCTCCGCCGCAATCTCTTCTCCCAGCTCGGAAGCGCCCAATCCGATGGGTCCAGATTGAGTCCCAAACACTGCGCGAGCGCCACCGTGTCTGCGAGCATGGTCCATTTGAACGGCGTGTCGGCGACGTGCTTGTTAGTTGGCCGTCGCTGAATCATGAGAAGCATCGTTTGCACCGTGGCGAGAGATGGAGTATGGAACTCGGATAGGGCGGCCATCCAGGCAAGTTTGAAGAGGTGGTCTGCCGAGGGGAGGGTGTCGACGTCTACACAGAGGATGTCGTCGAATACGCAGAAGGGGAGGGCGTGGCCATAGATTGCTGCCAGGAGACATATTGGCATTGTGGAGGGGCTGCCGTTAAGATTTTGGATTGTGTGTTCTTTGGATACGACCGGGAAGTAAGGTTGAACATACTTCCAGAAACTGCCACCAGTCAGTCGGAACTTCATTCTGAACTCAGGCATATTCGAGTGAGTATCCTAGGGTCTGGCCAATTCCTTACAGAGTGATGAGCCTTTGACCAACATTCTCAGAGACCAAGTCCGAGACCTCGCATCTAAGGTCGGCCGCGGTAGCTCCCAGCCCTCCTGGTTGCGCTTTACTAGCTTGTGAGTTACGCTGTAGCATAAACTGAATGGGAACCCCATCTTCAGGCCCCATATTCCTGATGCGGAGTTGCTGAAACGTGCATTCGTCTCTCTCGTCGAAGTGGTACAGATTTAGCAAGTACGGATCCGATTCACCGCTGAGACCTATTACCTGAGCATTGTGACCAGGCTCCGCGTCCAGCGACGACGGTACGAAGACATTGTCTCGACGTGGAACATCTGGTGAAGACGTTGTGTGTGGTGATGTCGGGCTCGCAGAGTCCATCAGCCCTCTCACAAAGATGGAATCGGCAATGGGCGAAACCTCCACAGACGGAAACCTCCCATCTGCTCCAGGGGCAGCTCCGTCCTGTTGGTGATGGGGGCTCCGTATCCCATCGCTCGAGCCGCTTTGCCGCCGCTCGGATAGCCGTCTTCTCTTGTTAGGGCCCCCAACAAATGTGCACTCTTTGCCTAACCGTCGGCAAAGCTCACATGGTGGCGTGTCTTCGTGCACAAGGCAAGCGGCGCGCTTGTAACGGCAAAAGTCGCAAGGATGACTGTTCCTACTACTCTTTTTGGTCTGGCCGTTCAAGTTGATCTCCATGGTGTGGATTCAAAGATGGAAAGCATGTTAGGAAACTCGATGTCGTTGCGGACTTCATTCCCCGCGTCCTCCCCAGGATTCCATGTTGGTTGAGACTCTGAGTTGATCTGCAAACTATCAGACTCTGATAACGGGGCGTTGGCCGATTGGATCATCAGCAAAACAACCCTGCATTTCGATAGCAACAAGCTCCATGGTGTAAGAGTGATAAAGCTTCGGCTGATAATTATTCCATCTAAGCTCATGTTGTTATTCCCGCGGCCAACTCAGGAACTAGATCCAATCCTGTCCTCTCGCCTTTCGTCCGTCACCGGAGCTCTTGTAGACGCCCCTCTTGGCCGTGGCACCGCCCATTCTAACTAATCCAACTAGGTGATGCACCCCAGCCAATACGCCGTCAACAACCTGCACGTCGTCCCCGACAGCCGCTTCTACGGCCCCCTTGAGCGGCGTCATACCGGCGCATCCCAGAAGCAACAAATCGGCCCCCTTTTCCTCCACCAGCTTCTTCCCGACGGCTGCCATGATTCCCATGACCTCATCCTGGCTCTTCTCGTGCAAGTCCAGCACGCCCAACTTACACGAGACCACGCCGGCGCAGGAGGCTGAGAAGCCATAGTGGTGAATGCTATCCTCGTGCAACACCCTCGACCGCTCGCTAACGGCAATGAGCCCAAACCGCCCGCCCAGCGTTCGCGCCGCGAAGAGCGAGGCTTCCATGATCCCGATGACGGGCTGGCGAGGGAGTTCTTCGCGAAGCATGCGGATGAGGGCATGGTCGGAGTAGCACGCCACCAAGACGGCATCATGGGTCGCCGCAAGGGGCAGGACGGCGCGAGCGGCGGCCGCGGCGGACATAACGTTGTCAAAACTGCCTTCGATGGCTGAGGGCGCCGGCCTAGGCGCCGTGAAGCCTGTGACGAGGACGTCGGGGGGTAATTGGCTCTCGACCATGGCGACGCAGGCGTCGGTCATGGCGCGGGTGCTATTTGGGTTGATGAGGAGGATGCGGATCTTCTTCTGAGTCTGTCCAGGCGTGATGCCGTTACTTACTGCTCCGTTGTGTTTCTCGGCTAAGGGCGAGAGCTTGGGAGGCTCCACGACGCCGGTTTGTTCTGTGATGCGAGTATAATGCTCTACACGACGATGTCTGGCAAAGTCAAATGTGCGCTCCTTGCCCGGCCGGCACTCAGCCAGGTCAATTTCTGCATAGACGACCTCGTCCTCTGTTGTAGATGCCTCAGCGATGAGCTCGCCCTCCGGACCAGTGATGCAGCTACCGCCAATGAGGTCGTACTTCCCGTCATCGAGACCACACCTCGCAGCGCTGATGCTGAAGCAGGCATTCGTGTAGCTATGAGCCTGCATCACCAACTTGTGGTGGAAGAGTGCCTTGCTCCGCGCCTCGTCCGGATCCATGCTGGCGCTGGTTCCCCAGAGATGCGGCGCGAACCCGGCCGTGTTGTAGCCGCACAGTACGACCTCGACGCCCTGTAGACCCAAGACGCGCCAGCTCTCAGCCCATCTCCTGTCGTTGCAGATCATCATGCCGAAGATGGGGTCCCCGCGCTCCGGTGCCGCCTCCGGCTCTGTCAGATCGGGTACCCGGAACGCATTGAAGCCGAGGTCTCCAGGCTTGAAGTAACGCTTCTCTAGCTGGTTCGTGGCATCCGGGTCCGCAAAGGGCTCAAAGTCGCCCGGAAGATGGATCTTGCGGTACTTTGAGAGGATGGAGCCGCTCTTTGCGTGGTAGTAGATGCAGGAGTTGAAGGTTTCGCCGTCGTCGGCCTTTTCGGCAAAGCCGACCGAGATGTCGACGCCCAGCTCATTGGCCTTATCGAATAGCGGCTTTGTCTGCGGCTGAGTCGCTACATCGCCGTGCTCGAAGAAGGAGTCAAGTTCAGAGGGGTCGTTTATCAGATGCCGGGGAAAGAAGGTTGTGAAGGCGGCTTCAGGGAAGAGAACTAGCTGTGCTCCCTTTGCGGCTGCGTCTTCAAGAAGTGATAGCATGCGATTCAGTGTCTTGGGCCGGGGGTCGTTGTAATGCGTTGCGCCCATCTGAGCCGCAGCCACGCGAAGCTTCCGTGATAGCATTGCCGCTGACTTCCTGTTTTTCTTGTGCAGTTGTCAAGTTGCTATGTTCTCACATTCCCTCTTTTCACTGCCGCTATGCAAACTTCAGTCCAAACTTATTCTTTTCGCCACGAGAAGTCGCTGAGCTCTTCTCCGAATCTCCCACAAAGTAGTGCTGGGTCTACCCCTCATGCATTGAGATCAGCGTGCAGTGCTCCGTATCGTCCGTCCTATTCCCTGCAGCTCCCTAAGGTAGTCTAAGTTGTGGGCGATAAGCGCCGATAGGCCGTCGGGTAGTTTGCCGTCTCTGCCTATCGTTATCTCTGATAGGCCTATTTATTCTTCGCAGGAACAGCGTTATCAAGTCTACAGCCAGTGTAGATGTCGTTAATGACTCTGTAGATACTCCATATGGTGTCAAGGGAAACTCAAGGACAGATTGAAAGAATCTACGAATTACCGAAGCGAAGTTTGTTGTTGGTTGATTGCCTCAAAAATCGCCTTTAGCATACTGAGACTCTTCTGCTGTCATAGCACACTTGGGTAAAGCGACATGGAGGTTGATCTCATCATTGAGAATGCCACAGTGGTGAGTACTACATGAATCATGTTGTAGCGAGGGCCCCATCGGCAAAATGACTGATGGAGAAACAAAATAGGTAACGGCATCTGATGTCCACGTGAGACAAGATATCGTGGTTCGCGACGGCAAGATCTTAGCTGTAGGCCAGGATCTCAAGTCTCTTTTCTCGGCCAAGACAGTGATAGATGCACAACATGGCTTCGTCATGCCGGGCGGCGTGGATTCCCATGTACACCTTGACCAGGTAAGAAAATGTTCTATTCGGTTTCCAAACAGAACCCCCTTGTCTAAACCAGTATCAGGACAACTCTCCAACAGGAGACAACTTTGAGACCGGCACTCGATCAGCGATTGCAGGAGGCACAACAACGATTATTGCTTTCGCTACACAGGAACGCACCCATCAGTCTCTTCACCCAGTCGTAGATGATTATCACTCACGCTCCCGAGGGAAGTCATACTGCGACTACGGCTTTCACATCATTCTCACAAACCCGACCCCCACCATCCTTCGCGATGAACTTCCATTCTTTGTCAGCGAGGGCATCACCTCCGTGAAGCTCTACATGACCTACGAGCCCTTGCAGCTCAAAGACGGCGAGATCCTAGATGTCATGATGGCTACGAGGAACCTAGGCATGACAACCATGGTGCACGCCGAAAACAGCGACATGATCACCTGGATCACGGCACGCCTTGCAGAGCAGAAGCTCACTGCGCCGTACTATCACGCCATCAGCCGGCCCACCATCGCCGAAGATGAGGCAACGTACCGCATTATCGCCCTTGCTGAGCTCTCTGATATCCCCATTCTCATCGTCCACATGTCTTCCAAGACCTCCACCGCGCACGTCAGGAGCGCGCAGACAAGGCTCCTGCCAATTCACGCGGAGACGTGCCCCCACTACCTCTATCTCACAGCCGATGCCCTGAAGCCGTCTCATCCGGCCACTGATGGCTTCTCCGGCGCGAAGCATATCTGCAGTCCGCCATTACGTGAGGACCGCATGGATTTGGACGCCATGTGGGCTGGTATTGCCAATGGGACGTTTACGACCTTCAGCTCAGATCACGCGCCGAGTAAATATGATCACCCTGACGGCAAAAAGGCGGGATTGGGCAAGGAAGATGGCTTGATGAGGTATGACCAGGTTCCCAACGGGCTTCCCGGCGTTGAGACACGACTACCGCTGCTATTCGAGGGCGGCGTGTTAACGGGTAGAGTGACGCCACAGAAGTTTGTCGAGGTCACGGCGACGAACCCGGCAAAGCTTTACGGGTTGGGAGACACGAAGGGGGCGATTGCCGCAGGATATGATGCCGACTTTGTGATCTGGTATCCAACGATTGAGCAAGTTGCTGCCAGCGGCGGGACGGGCTTAACAAAGATGGAGCCGTTTGTCTTGGAGAACTCGATGTTGCATCATGATATCGATTACTCGCCTTTCGAAGGGATGAAGTTTAACAATTGGCCGCGTTATACCATTTTGCGAGGCAAAGTGGTTTGGGACCGCGATAGTAGCGGTATTGTCAGCGATATGGGATATGGCGATTTTTTGCGGCGTGGAAAGAGCACATTGAGCAAGCCGAGGAATCAATGGGTGAATGAGTTCCAGCCATTGCCGATGAAATGATGTAAGCTAGTTCGATCTCTATGGCCCTTCTTACTAAGTAGTCACTCACAGATAATTTAGCTCTGGTCCTGCACCACGGTTCGACCGGCCTTAGTAAACGATAGCTTACTTCACCAACCGATTTGACGCATCATCATCTTTGGTAGGTGGAGATCTTCCATAGCCAAGAGACAGACGTCTTCACCCCTGAGCCCACTCGTGATATCGGCTACACATACTTGATTTTCCAACGTTTTCAACGATAAAGTTGCCAGATATTCTAGTACGATTTGGCTGAAGTCATGTAAATAACTTATCACATAGCGATAATCGGGCGTGAATACCCCTTCTAGAATCTATGGCGTTAACACATGTAAAGTATTGCACAAAAGCATTAGCGGCTGCCGGTCATTCTGTCTTGCTTGCACAAAAGAATAACCCGGTGGGAGATCTAGCGGAGCCACAGTGCCGTCTTTGTTAGCCAAAGATTCCTCGTTTAACTACCCACCGGAATCGATTCCGGAGCTTCGGGTTCTCCGGTCCGAAGCAACCTGCAGGGTACCCTTGAGCATGCGTCTCTGGAGCTTTATTCTGGCGCAACTTGGTTTACCAAATCGTACCATGGACTTTCAATTGATTCCGGACTTGAGTATTGTCTCTGGAAGAATTCACATTTGACAATAGGTTCCACGCCTCAATGCCATCTCAGGAAGCAGCAATTGATCAATACACTTAAACGAGAGTTGCGCCGCTTGACCAGGAAGAAGACCTCATTGTGATACGGCTGACCGGCTTGAGGACAACTAGGTAATGCAAGAACCTATGTCAAGAACCAAACGGTCCGAGGGACTGTACCGAAACCAGACGTTCGGGAGGAGCTGAGCGGCACGAGGTCTCGGTGTGCCGTGCGCGTGCTCGATACCCTCCACCAACCGCGGTAGGAAGACTAATCGGGAAGAAGACTTGGTTTTTTATGCACACTATGCAGCTGTGCCGCACACTAAGACGGAGCCGGGCGAGAGAAGAGCCAGCACGCACTGCACAGAGGCGTAGAACTAAAGCACCAACATTTCATAACTTGCCGAGCTGCGGGGGTGGTAACCTGGTCCTCAGGCGTGGTAGGGTTCTACAAAACACCCCGCGGGCCCGGGCGCGACTCATGGAGCGGCTGGAATCTGATCTGTTCTCGCGTTTCCGCCATTTTTGTACCTGATCTCGTACTACGTAGTTAGTTGTCATTGGAAGCGCAACTGTAATCCTGCGTCATGGCCGACTCAACCTCGAAACCTACGCCGCCGGCAGGATCGCCTGCGGCACAATCTCCGCAGTCGGCCAGATCTCCCCCGAAGACCAAGACTCCGTCGGACGCAGCTGGGTTGTCCCCCGCTGGAGCTACTGACCTGGAGGCTGATATCGCAATCGATGATGCCGAATCGGTGCGTGACGGTCGAAGTCTTTGCTCACTGCGCATACACTGACATCTAAACCCGCCAGGACAACGCGTCTACCATTGACGATAGAATGTGTGCGACGTCTTGCCCCAAGATGGGCCCATTCCTCCATAGTAGAATCGACCTAATTCTGTAGCTCCTCGTACACCGCATCCTTATCCTCGTCCGTCCTTGACTACCCCACCGAGCATGGCCGTCGTTACCATTCGTTTCGATCCGGATGTATGCTACTACCAACACAGTATTTCTTGGAACCCGACTGACTGTTCTCTCAAGCTTATATCCTGCCCAACGATGAAGTAAACCATAAAAGCGATATGATGGCTCCTGGCAGATGAAACTAATTGCTGTGATAATCAGAGCGAGATGGACCGACTGGACTTTTGCCATGCGCTATTGACGAGGACAGTCGGAAACAAACTGTTCTTGGCTCCGGTAGATGAGACAAAAATGCATAGGGTCCTTGATGTCGGCACAGGAACAGGCATTTGTAACACAGCATCAAAATTCCTAGTCGCTATAAAGAAGACTGACAACTTCAGGGGCCATTGAAATGGGTGACAAGTATCCCAATGCGGAGGTATATATGTCATTTGATACCAGCCAGGCATCCATGCCCATAATAAGCACTTGCTGACACAAAAGCAGATCCTCGGGAACGATCTCAGCGCCATTCAGCCAGCTTGGTAAATCTCATCGGGGAATGAGGCTCTCAACGTACTAACTCCAATTAAAGGGTACCGCCGAATGTCAGATTCGAGATTGATGACGTTGAAAGCGAGTGGCTTGGAAATAAGTATGACTTCATTTTCAGCCGTTACATGTGCGGGTCCATCGCGGACTGGCCAAAGTACGTGAAGCGCGTCTATGAGTAAGCCACCTCTATACCCCTAGCTTCTTAAAGCTAGAGCTATTCTAAGTATTCGGCAGCAACTTAAACCCTGGCGGTTGGGCCGAGTTCCAAGACTGGAGTTTTATGATCTATTCCGACGATGGTACAATCGAGGGTACCGAGCTCCTGCGGTGGGTCGACCTCTTCATGGACGCCTGCAAAATCTTTGGCCGAGATGGGCAAATCGGACCCAAGCTGGAAGGTATTGTGCGTGAGAATACCGGTTTTGTCAATATTCACCACCAACCATTCAAGATCCCTGCTGGCCCATGGGCCAAGGACCCTCATCTCAAAGACATTGGGATGCTGGAGTTGATCCAGCTATTGGACGGCCTTGAAGGCTTCTCCCTGCGCCTTCTTTGCGGAGCTCTTGGATGGACGAAGGAAGAGGTCCTTGTCTTGCTGGCTGGTGTTCGGAAGGATTTGAAAGATCCCAAGATTCATGCCTGGCTGTACTAGTAAGTTTGATGGCTGATGAGACCTGGGAGAAGACGAGCTCGATTCTAACTACTTCGAAGTAACGTGGTCTACGGCCAGAAGCCAGAGAAGGGAGGAGAGTAATGACGGGAAATGCGAAATGGGTCTTACGTCGCGCATCTCTCCTGGGAGTTTATTCCGACTGAAATGTATCTTCTGCAGAAAGCCAGCACAACTTCAGAGGCTGGTTTCAAGGGCAAGTCTATCAAGCAAGTGATAGAGAAAGCTTGCAACATTTCTGAGTAGGTCTTGCAGCAATATTAGTAACGCATGCTTGCTTTGACATGCGATTGCTTTGATCTAAGTGTGGTAAAATTTCGTCTCGGTACAGGAAAGTATGACTGGCTTCAATGAACCTATATCCCATCGACTTCCTCCCATCGACTTCCATACAGCGTCAATGAATTGCATACTTTTTCGACAGGCAATAATAAATTACCTATGAGTTAACCTTACTTCCATTCTATCTGGCCAAGTGCGAATGAATCGCAATAGAGCAGGACTAAAGAAAGGCTGGAGAAGGATGTATTGACCCTATTTAGCAGTTGATAGAACAGGCATATGAGCGTGCTGAAATAGTCTCAGTCTAGAAACCCTGTGCTGATCATGCATCGAACAATGAAGAAATCCCGTAGGCAGGGCTGGAGCAGGGATTCTCCCCCGCTTTGTAACAAATCACTCATTCAAGCATTAGGCAACGACGAAGACGACGACCTCGTCATGACTTCCACATGGTCCTTACTACAGTAATAAACACTATCGCTGACTCTCATAAGTACCTCAAAAAGCTTTCTACCAGCGACGATACTCTCACAACTCAAGAATCAATGTCGCCTTCGTCGCCTTTCACTTTTGGAGCGCTCGAAAGTCCAGCGCTGTGCGAAAGATGTCACCCCGTGCTGATGGATGATAGCATCGATGACTTCATTGAGGAAGAGTCTGCTTCTTCGGACTCTGCTGTAACGTTGAGACACAAAGCTGAAGGCGAAGGTGAACTTATCATGTTGGGATCGCCTTGCCAATGGAGGGACTCGCTACCTTCATTGCCAGTGCTGGCGGAGTCTTCAACCAACGGCTGCCACCTGTGCACATTCATCCGAGAACACATCATCAAACGTGGGATAAACTATAGGGGAGATGTCTACATTAATGGCGGATACATTTGGGGCGCTGACAGAGATGTATTCGGCTCGAAACCGAACGAGGAAGGCCTTGTATTTTGGCGGTGTGAAGTGTACAAACACCCTGAGCAGGAGTTTCTTGCGGCTATAACCTTCAACATCGAATCCGACGACGGTTAGTTTCGATATCTCTGACATAGTTCGAGTAGTTTGCAGTTGCCTGAGCTTACATTCCCATCCGCGCTAGACAATGTCACAGATTGGTTGCGAGTCGACGACAAGCGACGTCCCCGGTTACTTGATCCCGCCAATGTAGACTGGATAAAGTACGAGCTCAAAAGGTGTCAGAACGATTGTGATCATGTCAAGGAAGACACAGCCTTCATTCCAACAAGGCTCATAGACGTTGGCAGCACCGATCTAGACGTCCCGCGCCTTGTAACTTCGGATATCCTGCACAAAGGAAATGAGGGAAACCTTCGCAGAGTTGAATATGCGACACTCAGTTACTGCTGGGGATCTAGAGAGGATGCAGCTGAGCAGTTGAAGACCACCAGAAAGAACTTATCAGAACACCTTGAGGGTATACCACTCGACTTCATGAGTCCGGTTGTGAAAGACACCGCCATCACCTGTAGAGCTCTCGGTCTACGATATCTTTGGGTGGATGCCCTGTGCATAATTCAAGGAGATATAGAAGACTGGAATTCGGAAAGCTTGACCATGGGTCGTGTGTACTATTGCTCGACTCTGACTATTTGTCCGTTGACGTCTGCGTCCTGTTTGCAGGGTTACCTTGGTGAAAGGGCACCAGGTCTCGACTTGCCTTTTCAATCGAAACGACGCGAGAGCGTTCGCGGGACCTACACGTTCTTCCCTTCTTCGGATGATCGGAAGCCCATTTGGAACTCTTCGTCACTGATCAATGACTTGAAGCGGGCAGTATGGGAAACCAGGGGCTGGACGTTCCAGGAGAACATGTTGTCGACGAGGCTGCTCTTTATCGGGCCTGGGTTGTGGCACTTTGCCTGCGAGAACGGCTCAACATCTGAGAATTCATATGTGAATCTCGGATCAGTCGTTCACGGATCCTTGAGACCACTCGTCAACATAGCACGAGAGCCGAAGCCAACTGATCCTATTGAAGTATGGCGTAGGGTGCGCAACGCCTACGCCCGATGGGAAGAGATACTGGAGATTCAGACAAGGTCGTGGAGCTACAGAGATGATCTCTTGGCCGGCATAGCAGGATTGGCTGAGGAGTGTGCCAAGATTACGGAAGATACCTACCTTGCTGGCCTATGGATGAATGACCTGCAACACGGGCTTGTCTGGGAAATGCTTAACCCGGACGTTGGTACCCTCGAGACAGCACTCCGACAGAAGAGGGATCAAAAGCCTTACGTCGGCCCGTCGTGGAGTTGGGTTTCTCAGCTACGGCCTTTCGAGGTTTTACCATGCCGACGCTACAACGTGGACAATCCTAGGCCACAAGAGAAGCTTTCAAACAACCAGAAGCTTATGTCATTATCAGACACATTGCCAACCCATGTTCGAGCCGAATACACCATCACCGGGATTCACATGGACTTGCAATGGCGCAGCCCATTTGGTCGACTTAATCCCGGCTCATACCTTCGAATGCATGCATCGTTGGCCGACTTCCCCTCAGATGTGAATGTCGAACCCAAACGCAAGGGAAACCCCCCGATCGGATACTTCTCTGATGGGAGTGGCCTCTGCATGTTTGACTGGTCCGTAAACGCAGCTACTATACAGCAACCAGGCCATATGAAGCTCTTGTTGACTTCCAGTTGTTGTTATAAGACTAATAACTGGGGTAAACTGCGATACCTGTCCAGTTTGCGAGACGGGCCAGGGAGGTCTTTCCCTTTCCCAGAGGGTGAAATGGTCTTCAATTGTGAAGACTGGAGAAGGACAGAGCAATGTTCCTCCTGTAAAGATAGCGATGCTCCGAAGACTGTTTGGGGGCTCATTGTTCATCCGGCGGATCGCCTCGAAGGCTATTATCGAGTCGGAATATTTGTAATATTCTCTGAGGGCGGCCATGGACGCATCTTTGCGACTGGAAAGAAGCAAGATGTACTCTTACTTTAGGAATAAGTCCTTGAGGGTTGAAAACAAGTACCGTAAATGTTTTGCTCCAGGTATTGAAAGGCACATTAGTCCTCGAGAAAGACGTCTATCTTTAGCTAGACAAATCTCAACTCCAAGAGGAACGAGGTCGCTCGTCGAGTATCACAGAACACACATCCTAGTCGCGATCATGCAATCCACCACTAAGACACGGGGAACCTCTCTTCTTGTCATTGCTGCCTAACGTACACGACGTTCAACTCAGAGTAGCTATACTGAGGAGAGCTTAGGCTGTAGCCATTGAGAGCATCGGTGGTAGCAGCTACTGTCATTGCGTTTATAGTCACACCCAGAGAGGTAGGCTGCCAGGACTTGATGTTGTGAGTGGCAGGTGAGTTTATCATACACTTTCAATACTCTCACACACTGTCCAACAGCATGCTGATAGATCAGCTGCAACAGTTGCGAGTATTTTGGCGATGGTTTGTGATAACTCACAACCCGAGTCCAAATTGCCGCTCAATGACTCGCGGCGACGGGTCGACTATGGCTCGTGCGACTCATCGGCTGACAATCAGCCAACCCACTCTCCAGGACGCGCGTAGGGTCGCCTATTTCGCTGCGAATCGCTCGTCCGCTCGGCTTCCCGTCGTTGCCAGTGTTTCCACATTCGAGCAAAGCCCCGGCTTTATGGTTATTTTCTCATGAGAATGGCAGCCCGGACCTGGTTCCCGGCCATATAGGAATCCCAACCCAGCTCGGTAGTGTGGCGACAACTTTTCAGCCTCACGGCAGTCTGTGTGTCACGACCGGACCATGGCCGAATATGACTGAAAAGCTAGAGGCTAGGACACCCATCAATGCGCTGTTGAGGCAATTGGTCTGGTCGCACTTGATGAGGGTCTATCAACGTCGCAATTGAGGTGGCTCTTCAATAGCTGACGCTCGGATCGCTAGATCGACGTGGATATTCCCCTGACTGGTGACTGGGCGCTTGAGAAAGATGACATGTCATTGTGTTTCCTCCTTGGGATGGCAGATGGAATACGGACTGGACCCCGAGCTGACGGACTTTTGACCGGGGAACACCCGGACCACGTCCAGATGTGATCAAGCATTGGGATTTTCATTCATTTTCCACCATTGCTACGAATACTTTATGTTACGTGCTTCTTGCCCAGCATGCTACTTGGGGGCCGTTTGGTATTGCATGCATTCCTCGCCTATCGTGCTCACGACTCATGATCATAACGCCATAGTTCATCCCGAAAAACGTACAACGAAGACTCGGACTTAGGCGTACGTCTTCACCATCTTCAGCAGAGCCTCCTCAACCTCCTTCGGGCTGGTGGCGTTCAAGTAGTGGCCACCACCCTCAACCAACGTCACCGTCGCCTCCGGGGCGGAAGTGAAGAGCTTGATTTGCTCACCGGGGATGTTGACACCGAAAACAGGGTCGGCGGTTCCCTGAGATTTGGTCAGCGAGGCGCTCAAAGATAGTCCGGTCGTTCGACCGTAGTATCACATACCTGGAGCCAGTAGACGGGGCACTTGACGTCTCTCAGTCTCAAAAGCAGGCCGTCTCTCGACAGAAGGTTACCCAGGGCCATCTTGAGCTTCTTGCGGCCCTCGTCACCCTTGTAGACAGACTTAAGGGTCTTTGTCCAGAACTCAAGGGTCTCGGGCGGGACGGTGCCTGAGAAGCCCAGGCTGCCAACCATGCCGCACCAGATATCGTCAACGACGAAGTCCGGCGTCGGGGTGGCACTGGACCAGCCGTCGTAAAAGGCCAGGAGCTGGGCCTTGGGGTCCCAGCAGCCCTTGACACGGGAGTCGGCTGACTCGTAATCCATTGACGTGCCCAAGGGCAGGAGACCCAGAATCTAGATTCGATGGAGTTCAGCACAGTCCAGAAAACTCAATCCCATGAAAAAACAACGATCCTCTCTTTAAAAAAAGAGATCGCGATCCCATGGAAACAAATTGACAGTGTAACGGGACCATTGAATGTCACGTGGCATCGTAACGTACCCTTTCAGGGGCCAAAATGGCCATGCGGGTGACCATCCATCCACCTTGACTCGTGCCAAGAGCAAAAGCCTTTTGAACGTTGAGCTTGTCCATGACCTGCAGGGCCATGATGGCAGTGTCCCAGTAGGTGAAGTGCTCTACGGGACAGCTGGTGGAGCCGTGACCGAGCGGCTCGATGGCCAGCAGGTTGACAGCGTCCGTCAGTGTCTTGCTGTTGAACTGGTCATTGTAGAGGGAGACGGTTGTGCACATGGAGTTGATGAGGACGACGGTGGGCTTGGCGGGGTCGACCTTGTCCTCGGACAGACGGTAGCCGGCCGTGATGCCGCCGAGGTGGGGGACTTGGATGGTGGTTGTGGCTGCCATGATGTGATTTTTGTGTGTGTAGTTCGTTTGGGCCCTGTTGCTCTGCTGTCTGCGAGTGTATAACGAGCTGCTTTGAGTTTGGTTCGGTTCCGAGAGGTCAGAGAAAGGTGGCTTGGACAAAAGTTAGGTTTAGTAGTAGGTTTGAAAGAGATGCAGATTTTCACATGTACTAAGCAACTCCTGAGGGGTTCTGGAGATCCTACCCCTCGTGGCGCCAGTTGCGGGTTGCATTGGGTAAACTTCAGAGGCGGCGGTGTATCTCAAACGGCCGACTCCACCGAGAAGCCTCGGGAGCCCAATTGAACGTAACATCTGTCGCAGTAGACCACGGACTGGTTTTCCCAAACGAGTCGCCTCATGGTGAGGCCTGTCCCTGTTTCGGTGAGGTGGAGATGGCAGAAAAAACGGTTGTGGGCGACTCCAGTTTGAACAAGTCACCAAGTCTTCATTATTCGCCAGTCCTGGTCCCTTGGAGGGGACACTCAACGGTATCCGACAACATCCTTCTTTTGACAAGTGGAACAGACTCCAGAGAGGAGCTTGTTGTAATCAGCGACCACGCGTTGGGCTTGGATGATTTCCAGGAATATCCTTTCGTCACTCGTGCTATCGCCGAAGCACAGACATCGGTAACAGGGACGGGACATGACTCGGGGTCTGCTTTTTGAGGGGCGAAATGAACAGCCAGCTTTAGTCTGGCGGTGGCCATGTCCTCCCCAGCTAGCGTTTTCGCTGGTGCTATGGTGACGGACGACCGAAGAAGCCGAGAACGACTCTACCTGAGGTGCCATTCTTGCTCGGTCATTTTACCGCTAGAAAGGGGGTTCATTCATCGGCAGCGGGGCCGGCTGTGAATGGCGTTGCGGTCATGGTGGTGAGAGGTTCATCTCATACCATTTTCGGGTTCGTGGCGTCAGAGTTGATAAAGGCGCCGTCGTTTTGGAAGAGACAGGACCGTTGAAAGTCAAAAGTCAATTCCCTTTCCCGCCCGTCTAAGAGAAACGAACTGTCGGGAGGGACGGGTACATCCTTCCTCTAGTGTTTCTTCTACCCGTTCGGTATTTCATAGACATAAGGCGGGTGGGAGGCCGAAAATGTCTGTGAGCAAAGTGGACGGGGACGGGTTGGCCAGGCTTTAAACGCACAACATGTCTGGCTCTGATGCGATGAATTCGGGAATTCTTCAGGGGAATTCTTCAAGCGGCCGGGGCCGATCGTTTGACGCGAGGCATTCCTTCGATCCCCTTCTGCCGCCCCCAATCCCACACGCCATGCATTTCATCTGCGACGCATGCGGCTGCCGAGGCTTCGACTAGGGGGGGAAGCGAGCCCTTGTTGGAAAGTCTGATGTTCCTGGCTCTCGCAAAAGCTGCAAGCTTCAAGGCAAAGCCGGCCAAAGCCCGGATGCGGAATTCAATGTGTAAGGACAACCACATAATCAAAGGCCCAGCCGTCATAAAATCTCCCGACAACGAGAGCCCCGGGCCGACCAGGGGAATCTAACTCTGGGCAATGGGCAGCGCCAGCAAAAACGTCTTAGTGGCCTTGGAGACTTGAAGAGCCGAAGGGAAGGGTGCTAGCCGATGCCTATTCGAGGCACCTCTAAGTCGGATCCCAGCACCGGGCGAAGCAATCCGGGATGATCCCCATCCAGCCATGTCACTTTGCCCCAGGGCATCGCATAATTCAGTGGAGAACAACGCCGAAATTCTGAACGTCGTTCGACCTGCAGAGGCCTGTCATCCTTTGGCCGCTAGCAACCTTGGTCCACAAAGCGTGGAAAAACACTCACTTATTGTGGACTTTCTATTCCTTTCTCGCTTGGGAAACGAGGCGATCAACATTGCGGCGAGCAATGGCAGCAACTGAAGTATGAAATAATACAGCAACGTGCATACATAGACAGGAGACAGACCAGGGGCCTGCCTGACATCCCTCGTGGCATCGAAGAATTTACCTCTTTTGTGAACCTTGCATGTCTATTAGATATCCTTTCCTGTCAGTCCACCCACTCGCTCGCCTCTCCTGTGGATGATCGAGTTCCCTTTTTGGTTGCATATCTCGTTTGACATATATGCGGCCCTCTTGGCCGCCGTTTTAGGAATGAAGCAATGGCGGCCGAACGGAGAGTTCCATCAGACCCTCGCATGGTGTTCACCATCCTCGCATGTGTTTAACCAAGAACACACGTTCTTTCCTCCCCAGTTTTCCTAGCTTTTCGTCATTCCCACGTTGTCCAGGGGCTCGTCTCTTTACAGGCTTCACGTTGTTTTCAGGGGCCAGGGCTATAGGACGGCAGTTTCTTGCAGAAGGATTCTGCCCATCCTTCAAGTCGGTGCCTGGGCAGAATAAAGTGATCCAGTTGCCCTGCTTCTGTTTATGGAGTCCTCTTGCGAAGCGAATCCGTTCGGAGTGAAGAAAGATTGATGAAGTGCGTTGACCCGTCCCCTTCCCTTGGTAGTTGACCAGACCCTCCTTCTTTCTTCTATTCGCAGCTATCAGGCTGGGTCCGCCCCCCCCCCCCCCCCCCCCCCCCCCCCCCCTCTCCCCCCCCCCCCCCCCCCCCTCCCCTTCCCCTCCCCCCCCCCCCCCCCGTGGGGCTGTCCCCCACCCCCCCCTCTCCGCGCCTCCCCGGTGGGGCCCCCCCCCCCCCCCCCCCCGTTTCCCGAGAATTTGGTTCTCTCTTCCCCGCGGCATCTGTAGAATTACTCAACACATCGCCGCAGTGAGGTGAAAGGCACTTTACTCACGAAAAGATGTCGACCGACTCAGGTCCGTCACCGTTGCCCGGGCTTCCTGGATACGACCCTCAGAACATTCAGCCATGGACCGTCGAAGTTGTGGTTTCGGTGACGGTCCTCGCAGTACTCGCCGTTGTTCTCCGCCTCATCAGTCGCCAAACGAAGGGTCAGAAGCTGTGGTGGGATGACTACTTGATTGTCTGGTCGATGGTGCGTTTCCCACCAACATCATGCTTCTAATTAGAGGCATGACTCTCTAGATATGACTAGAAGCTGACTGTGTAGTAGTTATGGAACCTTGTTGTTGTTGGCTTCATCTTCGCGATGCACTCGGTGGGCATGGGCCTCCACGCAGACAAGGTCGGCGTCGACAATATCGTGTTGATGGCCAAGTATCTCGTCGTGGCAGAGATTCTTTACGCCTGGAACCTGGGCTGGACCAAGCTCAGCTTGATGTTGATGTACTATCGCATCTTTCACATCCCATTCTTCAAGAAGATGACGTGGTTCGTCATCTCTTTTGTCTTCGCCTGGGTCATTTGCATTACCTTCCTCTTCATCTTTATTTGCGTCCCTGTCGAGAAGCTCTGGTATCCCGACATCCCGGGCAGATGCATCAACCAGGTTGCAACCTGGATCGCCAACGCAGCCTCAACCATCTTCACCGATCTTCTCATCTTGTTGCTTCCTCTTCCTCAGGTGTGGAAGCTGCAGTTGCAAAAAGCTGAAAAGATTGCCCTGACCTTCGCCTTCGGTCTCGGTTTCTTGTAAGTGCCTTCTGCCGTAAGAACCACAATCACTCGGTCTTGCTCACCCGTGTCATAGTGTTGTCTTCACCTCGGCATACCGAACGAGCGTCCTCTTCACCTACAGTGGTACCGACCCGAGCTACACCCTCGCCCCAACAGTCGGCTGGACCGCCATCGAAATGTCCGCCGGCATTGTCTCCGCCTGCCTACCTACCATCCGTCCCGCCATGCAGCGCATCGTTCGAGCTTGCGGTTTCAAGGGCAGCATGGGCGGCATGTTCCGCAGCACGACGGCGCTGGGCTTCGGTTCCAGCAAGAATAAGTCCAACTTCAGCAACGGCATGTCCTCGCAGGACCCCCATACGACCAACGGCGGCTCACAAATCGCCCGCAATCTCTCAACAACCAAACACGGCGCCGGCGAAGATGCCTTTTACCGGTTACCTGATGACAACGGATCTGAGGGCACCAGCCGCCAGCCTACACCTCCTCTAGAGGACTCCAAGCTGAGACCAGACACCACTGGGTTTGGGTATTCGGTCTCGAGTTATCCCGTCAAGGAGAGAGATGACAAGAGCGAGGATGAAATCCCCCTTCACGCCATTCGAGTACAGAGAGACTTCAAGCATACGACGGAACGAAGCTAAGGGAGGATCGGATCAATTGTATGAGGCGGTATATATAAGGAATCCTGGGTGACAATGATGAGGCTCCCGTTGGTTGCGAGGTCTAGCGGTAACTTTTACCAATCTCTTAATTTTGGTGTACGAGTGGTTGTCGATGGTCAAGGGTTATGCGATGGCGTTGAATAGGAGTAAAGGAAAACCGACCCAAAAGTCGGCTGCTAGTCCACAGAGAAAAGCAGAAAGTAACGAGCTACGTCAGGAACGTAACATGGCGGCAATGCGCCAATCCTGTGGTGGCAGAAGTCATCTACTGAGTCTAATAATATTGCAAACATGAGAAGATGATGTAGCCACAATGGAGTCATTCCTCTGATGGCTCGAGCCACGGACCGGATCTGATTTCCAAAGCCCCGCCGAATCAATCCGCATATTCCATTATCATGTGTAGTTAATTTCCTTCTCACATATGCCATCGTCCAAGTATGCTTGAGGTGCTCGCCATGCCTTTTGTGTTAAGGCTATTCTTCTTCTGTCTCTGGCTTTTGGCCGTACACAACATTGCTATACGAGAGTCAGTTCTTGCACAACCTAATCTTGCGCTGGTTGGTAGAAAACCACTTACTAGTGCAGCCAAGCATGGGCTTTTCCAGTTCTCAGCTCGGTGCGCACTCCTGTGAGTAATACTAGAACCTCCTCCTTGGTCCAGCCCAGGACGCCACAGAGGAGTCTTAGGGTGAAGGCTTCCAAACCATCCAACATTTGAATGAGATTACACATCCCGATATCCTTCAGGTGAGGGTCCTTCGCCCAAGGTCCAGCGGGAATTCTAAAAGGCTTATGGACGATGTTGATCAGGCCGGTGTTCTCCCTTACCAGCGTCTCCAACTTCGGCCCGACCTGTCCATCACGGCCCAGGACCTCGCAAGCCTCCATGAAGTAGCCCATCCAGCGAAGGAGTTCGGTGCCTTCAGTTGTTCCGTCATCCGAATAAAGCATATAGTCCCAGTCCTGAAATTCGGCCCAGCCTCCAGGGTTCAAGTTCCTGAGAAAATGTTAGAATGGCAAGCAATGACGAAACTCATCGGGTCTTGGACGTACTCATAGACTCGCCTCACGTATGTTGGCCAATCTGCCAAGGCGCCAGCCATGTAACGACTAAAAATGAAATCGTACTTGTCCTCCCCGATCCATTCGCTTTCGACATCGTCGATCTCGAACTTGACGTTAGGTGGAACCCTGTGACATGAGTTCTTGGGCTTAGTTGATGGTCAAGAGCGAGCAAACTTGATGAGTAAACGTACCACGCTGGTTGAATAGCGCTCAGGTCATTTCCAAGGATCTGCGTCTTTGTCAGATATCAAAGCATCAAAAGGTACGCGCTTGGGGTTTTGTAATTACCTCTGCATTTGGAAATAGATCACCCATTTCCATAGCCCCTACGACGCAAGAAAAATATGAGCCTGGTGTCACAACAGCAAGCACGGCTGCGCGATCGAGCGGATACTCACATATTCCAGTACCAGTGCCCACATCAAGGATCCGGTGAGTCTTGTGCTCATCAATCGGTGCAAGAAAGAGTCGATTTCCGATGGTCTTGACTAGCAATGTGTGCACCACATCAAGTCTATCCATTTCAGTCTACGAGCAATATTCTTGTTAGTGTTTTTGTGACCATGAAGTGATTGCTACAAGGGAAAGGATGTACCTCATCATTCGGGAATACGTAGGCTGTTCCACTAATTAGCATGGATTGAAGCTTATGGAGGTAGCTCATGTGTGCCCATGACTTTGATGTGATCTATTATAAGACCAACACGTGTGACACAGATCCGCATATGGAATTTTAACTCACCGCCAGATCGGAAGGCATGATAACGTCGGCCGTACTCGGTAGGATAATCAAGAACAGAAGATGACAGTGAGGCAGTGTACGAGGAACTACGGAGTAAGCATTAGTACATGTTGCAACTGGAAGCATTCTCCCCATGAGACAGGAAATTACGATGTTGAAGGAGTCAGGGTTTGTGGGCTTCAGTACATTCTGTCATCAATGGTTGACGCATCGTCCTAAGAGATGAATTAGACTCTGACTTCGTGCGGCGGAAAGTGGATTCTATCAAATCTGATGAACGTACAGTTGTTCCATCGTCAATCTCAATCGTGGCCGGGGTCTCGGCATCTTCGGGAGGAGACTGGGGGGCTGGCGTCGCTCCCGTGCCCGTTAACGATGCTGGAGTGGCTGCTGGAATGGCTGCTGGTATTGCTGCTGCTGCTGGGCTAGTCGCGGACGCTGGCCCGGCGGGAGTAGCAGCCGACTTTGGCGGTGTTTTTGGCGACTTCGGGGACTTTGCTGACTTGGGAGAGCCTGTTGGCGGGCTTGCCGTTGCTTTGGGAGTTGAGTCCGCCATGATTATTGGCGACTGAGATCAATGAGTTGGTGTGGACTTGGATATGGAGTTGAAGAACAAATATAGTCGCAAGATGATCGCGAGAGCGGCTGGAAATGTCGCGGGGTTTTGTAAAGCCACAGATAACAGGTAAACCCCCGCAGCTTGGCAGACATCGATGTTGTTGGTCCTGTTGGAACCAACTGCATTGTTCGATATCGTTATGCGGGCCGCATGCGGACTAGAGCGTGCAGAAGACCGACCTCCTTCCACCGTTGTTTGTTTCCTCGTAGGTGGGCTGTTCCTCCGCCCACAACACGAAGAGACACCTGCCGTCCGACAGCCTCGAAAGCCATCGCTGCTCGTCTGTACACTGCTAGTCGGTAAATCCAATCATCACCGAGACTGAAAACAGCTTGGATGATCTGTCATCCATATCTTTCGGGATATTCAGTTGGAATCTTCAAAAGCTTCAAGTGTTTGAGCCCTTTGTGCACGTCATTGGACTGGAGCAGAGTTTCGAGAGCAAGGATTGCTACCAGCTGGTACTTGAAAGCCAGCCACATTTTGACCCCATTCGGACAGCTGCAGCTCCATGGACCTGGTCCGCAGTATTTCATGGGCCAGGAACAGTTCCGGTAGCCCACGCTGTTGGACGGGATACGCGATCCGTCCACAAGAATCCTAGCATTATCACCTCTGCCCCGCTCAAACTCCATTTGTGAGAGACCGCGCCAAGTGGAGGAAGGGAATCAATGGCCGTTTACCCATCCACCCTCTTGGGCTCTTGGCTTCGTGTAATAGAGCTAGAAATTTTGCACAGGTTGCTAGAGACAAGCCATTTACTCAGAGCTAGCGACGTTCAAGTACTCTTGATACGTGACGTATAGGTCGTCTCACTTGCCCCAGTGGGGATCTCGTCAACAGCATCGTGTCCATGGCTACAGACATAGAACCACCATAGAGTTACCCGTTCCGGGCAGTGTAACGCGATTGAAAATAGGGCAAGCTTCAAGATCCAATGCACAATCTACGTGTAATGTCCAATCGCCGAGAGTAATGTTTTATACTTCTATCAATGATGCTCGCTAAGGCCGTACCCAGTCTCATACGAATGGTAAAGTAACGGAGGCTCAACAGCTTATTTCGCAGGCAGAGGTTGGACTGGTTCCTCGGCTTGCTGAGAGTGCTTTTACTACGCCGTAAGAAATCGCTATATCCTACATTGCTGATAATACCGCTACTTACGGCCGAGCTTGAGCTTTCTCGAGAAAAGTCTATCCACCACCAAGGTTTCTTTGAAGGAAACGATAGCCTGGGGAACTCAAGAGAGTTTTGAAGAAAAAAATCATCGACTCAACCCGTAGTACCCATGCCACAAGACTACAAGTGCCCTACAAGAGGTTCCCTGCTCTCTTGCGAAAAGGCATTGTATGCATTTACCGATCATTTTCGAAGAAGCAGCTATTAGTCTCCGCGGGAAAGCAGGTCGAGTGGCTTTGTGTGAGTTGAGCTACCTGTGAATGAACTGAACGACTGCATGACATGTTAAAAGGTTTCTCCTATCACATCAATAAGCTGACTGGCCCGTTTACTATCGTAGCCTCATTGCGGAAAGGTTGTGGTGGACAGCTACATAAAGAAGAAGCCTGGCGGCTTTTGGCGTCTCAAAAGCCTTCTTATTCGCTACTCCGGAGTGTCTTTGAGACAATCTGAGCCAATCTCTGTTACTCCAGAACAGAACTCTAAAGCTCAAGATGCTTCCGGGACTCTGATCTTCAACAGCATAGGCGGCTGGTTTAAAAACGGGGTGAATGTCAATCCCCGACAGAATCTTCCGCAGCATCATGAAGTCCTCAACTCGAATGGAAAGGACCCTGATCTCTGCAAATCGTCTCGGAAGCAAGTGGGAAGGCCATCGGTATTGCGTCATAGCTTCGTGCTTTTATGTATTCCCTTCATGAGATGGGGTACAAAGGCTGATCAGCCTGATGTGTGCGATATTCGATCTGACCAAAATTTCTTCCACTTGCTGCGCGCGTCCTACGAGACATATCGAGCCCAAAGTCGTTGGAGTTGTCTTAGGAGAGTCAAAGTCATTGGACTTTTCAAGGTATGATACTTTGACCCCTTCTCAACCCACATAGCCTCTAAGTATTCAACTCAAGATGCGCTTTCCATTAAGACCTGACACTAACACGACCCTTGACTGAACTCAGTTTGGACTCTTCCGCACCCAACTGGTCAATATTTCTCGGTCTTCCTTTCTGCCCATTGGACCAGATTTCGATCATGAAACAGCAGATACTGAGCCGCCAATCGGAGTCAATCTTATGATGCATTTGTTTGAATATCCTGATCATGCTGATATTTTTCCGGTACTTTTCAAAAGGATACCTCGGAAGATGAGAGAAAGATTACAACCTTGTCCAGTTAAAGGGAGTTCCGATGGATGGGGTATGCAGTTCGTGGAGACGCCGAACGAACTCTATGTATTCATGTTCGGCTGTGCTGGATTCCTTCTTTGTCTCGCGATATCGGTTACATGGACGTTAGTCAAGAGTGATGTTCAAGGAGGGTTTGCGATTGGCGGATTTGCTCTCGCATTCACACTATTTTGCGGCGGATTACTTCACTCTTACAGTACCTGACCTTGAGCTATATGTTTGGTGGCTTGAAAGAAGAGATAAGTGGGTGATACGTTTTAAATACCTTCTGCATGTTATAAAATAAGGACCTCATGATCATTCCAAGTCCCAATCCAGGTCTGAATCTCTTCAACAACCTGTCAGCTTAGTTCTGAAGCCTGCAGCATCAGGTAATAAGGCATTGATTGCAAGCTGAAGTATCCCATAACAGCCCCACAATCGAGCTAGCAACTCATGAATTCGACTTCAGAGCCCTGTCATAAGCTCGTATCAAATGTGGCTGGTGACAGAAGTGGCTTAGGGAGACCGTAAGAATGTGAAAGATGTTCAAGCGAGGCAACACATTTGATGTTGGGTCTTGCTGCATACTTGCAATTTGCCTTGTCGTTCAAAGGCCTCCGGGACGGGAGATGATAGACATGAAAGACTTCTACCTCTATCCGCTAAGCTCTCGAGTACTATGCCTAAGCTTGAGATCGAGAATGTATAGGCTAAGGAGTATGCCATAAGCGAAAATCCACCACATCACGAGCAAGAGTCCGCTGATCTCCAGACCGATGTAGTACTTATTTGAGTACCTCGTCACGTACCCAGTCCCCCACACCCAGGCAGCAATCAGCATCGCAAGTTCAGGTCTGCTCTTGCTCGGATCCAACCTGAGCGTAGAGCGAATGGCGAGTCTGATGAGCGGATAGAGGCCCCAGGCGATGAAACATACCAGCTCGAGATGAAAGCCCACGATGTTCAGAGTCTCCCAAATACTATCGATGAGCGAAGAAGGTTTCGGCGACGTGAAGGGAAGCACAACTTCACATAGAGCCTGTTTATGTAGCAGTCCGCCCCGCAAGAGCTTGAAGTACGCGATGCCGACGGCCACAATATGTGCCACTCTCGCGTGGAGATACTCGGCACATCCCAGAATCCAGACCAGATAGACGACTAGCGCGGCTGTCTTCCGCTTTTCGATCGCCCTAGTTCGAACACCATCTAAACCGATCCCGCTCCAGCTTCTTCTTTGATCATCTGGCTTGACCAGGCTGTATCTCTTCAAGACACGCACAAAGACGACGGTCCCAATAATATCGCCAAGAAGCTTCCACGCCCCTTCCGACGTGAATACCCTCCCGAAGAAGCCAACCTCAATCTCCTCCTTGAGGAAAAGCGCTGGACTACCCACAGCGAGTTTCAGAGTCGCGATTGGGCCCCCGAGCGCGCCCACGCCCAGCGCGGGCGCGAGCATCCTCCTAACGTGGTTCACCAGCACAGCAAACACCATGACCGCGAAGCTACGCGCGTATCCACCGCCAACCAGTGCCGCAGCTGCTGGTGCAAGGCCCGGCTGTCGCGAGTGTGAAAGAAGACGCGCGACCTGGGACTGATCGCCTATACAAAGCCGTACAAGTCGGTAGAGCTGTGCCAGCGCGCTGTAGGATGCGGCTGGGATCAGAGCGAATGGGTCATCGGAGAGAGGCCCGTCGGTAGCTCTTAGACTTCCGTGCTGGTCGGTTACTGTAGAAAACTGTTTCTGCGGTGGTCTTGTATGCTCAGATACTGTTTGCGAAGGGTTGAAGAAATGCGCGTCTGACCTCTCCGGCGGTCGCTGGCGAGGAAGTGAGGGATCGGACATCGTGACCTGCACAGGGTTTTCTGCGCTGGCAGCGTCGTCAATGAGCAAAAATATTCCTCCTTCGATCTCTGGTACAAGATCAAGGACTGAAGTAGCTCAATCGGAGTGGTCGAAGTAGATGCCCGATGCTATTGTTGGGCGATCTGAGGCTGAATGTGTGAAAAAGCCACGACACAGAGGAGTTTTCCTTTTTCCTGCTTACTCAACGCCAAAGAAGACTAGCTCACTGAGCCGTGAGCCCACCAGCCACGTCAACAGCCGGAAGTAAACAGAATGAGGGCGATCGATCTCGCGACTTTGCCCTTCTTGTACTTCATCGCTCCAAGATAATCCGAATGCCTTCTCAGGCCGACGGGCCTGCGCTGTTCCGCACGGCGTCAATCCCCCGTCACGCCCCATAAATCCCGCGCCGGAGTGGGGTGAGTCGGGGCAATTTGCGTTCACCGCGCCGAAGGTTAGAGGCGAATCCGAACCCGGTACCGATCGGCCCAAGTTGAACGGGTTTAAGATGAATCGTTCATATCAACCTTAGGAAGAAGCATCGGTGCTTGAGTGTTTTGACTAGTTCGAGACCCCCAGAGTCATCCGCTTGAGCATTGTCTGTTTTCAATTGTCGCTTCGAAACTTCTACCTCACTCAATATGGCCTCGAAACTTCAGCAGCCCAACTATTCACCGTCGCTCTTTGTCTCCCATTCCCTTGAAACTCAGTAACATTTATGTTTACCAAGGCTTTTCCATTGGAATTTGGTCCTTCTTGAAACGCAGAAGCTGCCACCAAGCTAAACCATGTCGAATCCAGCTTACGTTATGTCACCGTTTCGCAGGTTATCGTCTAATCTCTCTTTTGCCTGAAGGATTGCGTCTGAAGGATCGTGCATATCGTAGCGTACCGTACACGTGATGGGACTAGCCCCTTGCCCCTCATCCATTCAAACTCATTCCATTGTCAGCACCACGGCTGAATTTCATTCTCACTCACAATCTTGATTCAAGATTCACAAAAACATCGTCAAGTCCGTCTCACGACACCGCCGCGATGGGGCCAATCCTCACCGGGCTCATCGCCCTCCCAATCCTCTGGATCGCTTCTCAAATTTGGGCTCTATACACAAACTACAGATCGGCTCTGACCGTAGGCTTGCCAATCATAATATGCCCATATGACCCAGAAAACGTAAGCTTCCACGACATCTCAACCGACAAGTTCTCATCTGACACACCTCAAGCTTATCCACGTGGTGCTCTCCGTCCCCTTCCGCCCTCTTCTCAAACGCCTCCTTCCGCCAACCTTCTTCGCCACCGTAGAACTCACCGTCGTAGGCTGGGAGTTTCGCGACAAGTCCTCCGTTCACGACCGCGTCGGTCCGGCCTTCATGCTCGTCACCACGGGTCTCAACCAGCTCATATGCGCCGACCCGACCATGGCGCACGCCATCTTGAACGGGCGGCGGGAGTTTGTTCAGCCGGATATCGTGTGCAAGGTCATGGGCTTCTTGGGTTCTAATATCCTGACTGTACGTTGAGGGCCTTCCACAAACCGACTCGCAGTCTTAAGCCCCTATGTTATGATCTCAACAGATTGGGATGCAGTTATGCCGAGTTTATCGCTTCATTCACAGTGCAAAGAATCTCAAGCTGACAACATTCTCTAATCTTTCAGTCCAACGGCGAGTCCTGGTCCCGCCAAAGACGCGTCGTAGCCCCCGTCTTGAACGAACGCATCAGCCCAGAAGTCTACAAAGCCACAGCAAGACAAGCAGAGTCCTTCGTCAACAACATTCTCTCATCCCCTTCCACCAGCACTCCCAGTATGACCACAGCAACAGCAACAACATCAACCACAATCCAGGGCCTCCGCACAATCGCAATCAACGTCCTCACCAAGATAGCCTACGGCGACAACAAACCCTTCGCCATCACCCCTCTCCCCGGCGACCCCTCGGCACCAATGTCCTACGTCGACGCAATCTCTCTCTGCACGGAACTCCTCGACCTCGCCGCCTTCATCCCCATACACATCCTGCGGCTGCCTTTCATGTCCAACGTGGTTCAGACGTTGGGCGCGGCGTTGCATAGATTACCCGGTTTGACGGTGGACATGCTTGATCGGGAGAGGCGGCGGTTGGCTGAGGTATCATCTCTGAATGGTCCTTCTGACGAGTTATTGACCACGGCGACGGTGGGAAAGACGGATACGATCATGAGCATGCTCGTCCGCCTTTCAGACCAAGAAAAGAGCCGTGCCGTTCCCGCCGAAAAGAGCGCTACCGCCACCACTGGCAACAGCAACCCCAAATCATACCTCACAGAAGAAGAAATCGCAGGCAACCTCTTCATCTTCACCGCCGCAGGCTTCGACACGACGGCAAATACCCTAGCATACGCCGTCACCCTCCTCGCAGCGTACCCAGAGTGGCAAGCCTGGATCCAGGCCGAGCTCGATGTCGTTCTGGGGCCTCCCACGCCATCAACATCGTCCTCGCCGGAGCAGGAGGGTCGAGAACTGCCGGACTACAGCGTCGTCTTTCCCAAACTGACGCGATGTCTCGCTGTCATGGTGAGTCTTCCAACTTCCCTTCTTGCTCGACACTCACTCACCCAGTCTATCTCTCTTTCCCACCCATCTTTGAGTGAAGGCGGCCCCATCCTATCTCATCTCCCCTTGCTAGATAACTAGATCTTCCTCTCCGCGGGAAGACATACACGTATGCTACGACAAGATCCAGACTGACAGAATCCCAAGTTCGAAACCCTCCGCCTCTTTCCGCCTCTAACCCATCTAATGCGCTCAAACATAACAACCCAAACTCTCCCAAGCCAAATCCCAACGTCAACAACCCTCCAATCCTCCTCAACCTCAACATCAACCTCACCATCATCCACAACTACCTCCTCGTACACTTTCCCTCCTTGCACAGTCTACATAAACACAGTAGCCCTCCACACCTCCCCCAAAACCTGGGGCCCCGACGCCCTATCCTTCACCCCAACCCGATGGCTCACCTCACCCCAGCCACCACCATCATCATCCTCACCACAACCTCCTCACATCCAACCCCCCCGTGGCACATTCCTCCCCTGGTCCTCAGGCCCCCGCACCTGCCCGGGCCAAAAAATGGCCCAAGTCGAATTCGTCACCGTCCTCGCGACGCTCTTTCACAAATGCACCGTCGAGCCAGTCCCTGAAGTCGATGAAAGCGGCAACACTCGAGCAAAAACAACACCCGAGGTAGCAGCAGCACAGGCTAGACAGAGATTATTGGACTTGACGCAGGACAGCCAGCCCAGGCTGACACTGCAGATGAATCGTCCCAAGGATGTGCGGCTGCGGTGGACGCGGCGGTGAAAGTAACTAGGAGATAGGGTGATATCATTCAGAGTCACAAGAGAGGCGCAGAGATACGATTTCAGGAAAAGGATAATTCAAGTTCTATTTTTGATGAATCGATACCCTCAAAGCACTGTCTTCCATCGACTGAAGTACAGCGCCGTGCTTTTCCGCTTGTAGCTATTCAACGCCATCCCACCCGTTCCCGCCAGATTTCGAAAACTCTCGGCGGGTTTCAACTGAAATTCCAGATCATGGCCTGCTTGGTTCGTCCTCATCGTACAACACGTCATCCACTTGCCACACTTTAGGGACGTATGAGGCAAAGGTATTACAACAAGCCCATTGAAGGGGCTAAATATGCTACATTGGGCCAGATTCCCCTTATTGGCAGATCTCCTGGACCGCCGGCTCCGCTCTTGCCCTCACCAGTTCCTGGCGGCGATTGGCTTGATGACTGCCAGATTCCTCAGCCAGCACGATTCCGTAGACTGCTCGCCCGACCAAAGCCAGGTAACCATTTCCGCTTGTGCAAGGGTGCGCCACCACTCGCAGAGCTGCTCGTGGGTGTGGTCTCTGTGGAGCCAGGCGTTCCATTTGCGTTCGGCGTGTTCGGGGCATGGTTTGCCATAGGTGTAGTCGGGGCTGTAGGGCCGTGATCATACACAGGCGCACCCTCGTCAAAGCTGCTAGAACGAGCCGGACGAGGGTTTCGCAAAATGGGAGGCGGTGTCGCGCTGGCCCTGTCCTCCTCGCCCGGGTGATTTCGCTGCACCCATGATGGGACACCCATCGGGGCTTGGGGCGCGGTTGGTGCGGGTGGCTCGGCTACTGGTGACGCATGTTGGACAGGACTCGGAGCGGTGCTACCTCCGATGGACCGTCTGAAGAAGTTCAACCGATGCCCACGGGGCGCGGCAGTCGAAGAAGGGGGATAGTGGCTGCTGTCCTTGGAACGAGCACCAGTCTTTGAATCATGCTGCGGGCTGTTGGCCACTGCCTCTGCCAGCTGGATCATTTGCGCATCAACACTGTTGCGCCTGGATCCGCTTCGAGATGGTGACTTGCGAAGTTTGCCGTTAATGGGCATGTTCTTTGACGAGGTCTGGCCTGTTTTAGCACCCAAACTCGACCTCCTATTCGGCGGAGGCAGGGGCTGAACCCCGTCTTGGAAGAGGGCATCCTCGGCCGTATTACGTTGCGGCGGAGGGAGACCTGGGACCTCAAATGCACCACCAGAAGAACCGAACATGCCAGCTGTGTTCCATCCGCCGGACGGAGGAAAGCTGAATAGGTCCGGAGACTCACTCCGCTGCTGTGCAATGTACTTTGGGTCCTTGCCTTGCTGTAACCAAATGTCGAGGCTAGAGTCGAGGGAGTGCATCGAATCTCCATCAGAGTCCCAGTCGAGTTCTCTGTGATTCGATATCGTAGTTTCATCTGTCGACCTAGGGCGAGGGACCAAAGGCGGCCGGGAGTCGAAGTAATGGGCACTGGCTGGCTCTTCGGGTCCAGTGAATGCAGAGGATGGGGGATGTTGGAATACCCGTGCACCTCCGCCGTGATCCCCCTCATCATCCTTGGACGTTCCCCTTGACACTGAGCGATAGCTATGTTGATCCGACACAGCTCGCTGCTTCGAGAGCGTGTCATTCGACGTCTTGAATCTTCGAAGCGTTGATGTGGAAATGGTGTCTGGTGTCGGAGGAAGGCCTTCGCCGGGGTGTGAAGCTGGTGAATCTGTTGTCACTCTCCGCAATGCTTCGCGCTTCGCGTCCTTAGTCTGCTTCTGCGACTGCCCTCTTCCTGCCATCGGGGAAGAGTCTTGGACGGGCAGACTGTCCAGATAGGTATGATCGAGCCTCGCTAGCTTTTGGAGGGGCGAGGTGTGGTCGATGATGTCGTGGAGCGACTGGAACTGGCCTGGACCAGGAGCCCGACTAGTTGAACTGGACCTACTTGGGCGACTGGATCGTGTCGACATGGTGGTCGGTGGTCTTTGTATCCTAGACTGGTCGCTGCCGTACGAAGCCTTTCGAGGTGGCGCTGAGTGTGGTAAAGCACCATCCATAGAGTGTGGCTCGTCTGCATCGGCCACAATTGTTTGATCCTGGTCCTCTTTCTCGCCATACACACTTACAAAGGAACTTTCACTGAGGACGCTGAGGCTCGGGCTCGTCATGCCATTACCACGACGTGGATCCGTCTCATCCACTGCCTCCGTGTTGAGCCTCGGTAAGCTGAGTAGGCTACCGCGTGAGCTGAGGTAGACTTTTCGTAGGTTCTCGGTATTTTCGGTATAGTCCGATAGGAAACTCGGCATGCGGTTGAGCGTCTTAGCATCATCTTCAAGTCGTGCCAGGTCCGCTATTCTAGGCTTGGGCGTGGGGCTTCTGAGGCGAGATTCGAGGTCGTCGGGAGGTAGGAAACCGGCTGCGTCGACCATTCGAACCATTTCCCGCTCCTTTAATAGCGTCTCGACCTGGGCCTCAAGAGTCACTATCATCTGGACCGCCTCCTGCACAGCCTTGTCTCGCTTCTCCAACTCGTCGAGGAGCTTGTCGTTCACATCATCTATTTGTGCTTTCTCGGACTCGAGGGCGTCGACACGCTCTTCGAGCGCATTTTGTCGTTCGCGGCGGTGGAAGAGCTCGAGCTTCAGGTCAAAGTTTTGCTTGTGCAAGGTGGAAACAGTCTGTCGAGGCAGCTATCAGCAAGGGTAGTGTACGAAGATGTGATCCAAGGCTACTCACTGCCTCCATCTCCTTGGCGCCCATGCCTTTACTCTTTGTAGATTCTCCATTGCCTCCACTTGATCTTGGCCGACGTCCATCAACGGACTCGCCTTTCACGGGTGAACTTTGCGCATGTCGTGGTGGTAATTCTACGGAGGCGGCCATGTCCTGCGTTGACCGTACCGCGGCCAACCTGTCGGCCTCCTCTCTTCTCCTCTGAAGTTTGTCCTGGAGATAGGTGGATGCGGCGCTCTGCCTTCCAGAATCAGAGACCCGGTCTCTTGACACAGCAGATCCAGGCCGAGAGGTCACCATCGACGGAGTGCAAGAGCTGTGATGGAACTTGTGGGCAGGGTGAGCACTGGGTGGTCTCGGCGAGGTAACGAACTGTGAAGTCGAACTATTTGCGCTTCGAGGGGTCCGTCGGGTTGCACTGGTACTTGTACTTGATCTCGAAGTTGGACGTGGGTAGACCGGAGAGGGTAGTGACCTCTCGCGGTCGCGCGATTGAGTCCGCGCAAGACTGTCCATCGTATCTAAGGGAAAAGAAACTACGGCGTCCTGTGCTTGATCCGATTGCTCGCCCGCATGCAAGTCGACCTAGAAATTCGTATTATCAGACGGCTCTTTGGCCCAGAGGATCACGCCGGCAGTCGGATTGGAGTGCTGAGTGACCGAATTGGGCGACAGCAAGGCGTCGAGGATCAGGATGATGCCTGTTCGAGGTGCAGAAGCGCGAATGGCAGTTGCGTCGAGCTAACGCAGCTGAAGGGGGGACGAGTACGGGAAGGGCAATCGACGTTCTTGGTAACTGAATAATAAGGAGAGGAATCCCTGGGCACGGCGCGGCAGCGAGAGGAAAGTTGCAGTGGTAGCAAAGCCGTCGAGTCGTGGTTGTGGATGCGCTTTGAAGGTATAAGAGAGCTGCTATTGCGAGAGAACAGGCCGAGACCTAGTTTCCGCAGCTTTGGGCCTACGCGACTGCTGATGGCGGCATGTGGTGGAAGTGCCGTGCAATACTCTTTTCCCTGGGCGATACGTAGTAGGTGCTGAGGGGAGGACCGACAGGCCGTCTAGACAGGAGCTTTGCGTTACGTCGGATGGCTCGCCATGAACCGATGCAAACGTGGAAAGGCAGGGCAAGCGGGCGAACTCTCGAGTCGGGTCTTTTGTCTCCCACAACGTCGGATCGGCAGTTGGGTCCAGCGTTGGAGGCTGGGCCGTGTCGCAGACGTTGTATCGCCGCAGCGCAAATGTCTAGGTATCGCGATGCCGCAGGAATGTCTCAATTGACGAGGGGCGGCGATACTGGAATGTCTCGATTGCGTGGTGCTTGGTGGGACAAACGGAGGGTCCTAGTCGCAGGAACCCAGGCAAGCTGGCGACAGAGGCTGGGAACGCAGGGCAAGGAATGAAATACTGGGTATCTGGAGCTGAGCTGAAGTAGTGAATGTCGATGGTGGTTAAGATGATGTTGATGATTGTTTGCAACTAGATGGAATGGTCTTTAGTGAATTGCCACCGTCAATGTCGTGTTCGCGAGCAATGTTGGTGTTGCGATGGACAACGATGTTGGTGTCGTCTAAGAAACGATAGGCGACCTGGTCGATAATGGTGGAAAAGCAGCTAGACACCTAGAGGAACAGGCTCCGAAAAGAGACCCTTGGGAGGTCCAGGGAGCAGATAGCGACCGATCGACAGGGCTATCTCGGGGGTGTTCTGTTGGCCAATTGAAGTTTAGCGATGCGAAGATGACGACGGGGTTCGTTTCTTGGTCAAGATGACTGATGATAGTGGTGGCAGTTGTTGTGGTGACCCTCGCACAGAGAATCTGGCGATGACAGTTCGTGGGAGAGGAAATGGGGAATGGCGAGGATGACGGAGCAGGTAGCACATTTCTTTCTGTGCCCTCTCTCTACTGCAAATGATCGGCCGCGAGTCGGAAGAAGAAAGAGAGACACACGGCTGGCGGCGCAAAGGGAACCTTGGGTGACGGGAATACGCACACGCAGGAGAAGGAAGGGGAAGGGCGTTTGATGCAACGGAACAAAAGTGACGAGGGTAGCTGCAGGGGGCTTAAGGGTGTGGAACTGTGTGGATGTGACGGGACCAACTGCAGGCACGCGGGGAGTCAAAAGGCAGCAATTCCAAGGTTGAATTATTCGCCAATGGGCAGCAAAGCGAGTGACAAGATGTGGGAGACCGCAGACCCTTGCAGGAGAAGAGTGGGATGAGGTGGGATGTGATGGGCCAGACGCGATGGTTGGACACAGGGAGGAGATGCGCAACCGAGCAAAAGACCAACAGGTGCAAGGATCGCGGTGGGGGAAAGGTCGAGCGAATGCCGTTGGAGGACGAGGTGATGCGCGTTGATTATTTGGTGATGTATTCGTTGGTGTTGGTGATGAAGCTGGTTGGATCTTGAAGGCAACGAGGAAGAAATGGGGAATATCAGGCGAAGTGGCTGGATTGGTAGGGCCGTATGAGAGTGAGAGTGAGAGTGAGTCTCAGGATGAAGGTGAGATGTGAGTGAGTTACAATGGTGTAAGAACCTCAACTGAACAAGCGCAAGCACAGGCAAGAGAAGATGCGCCTCCTCCACGAGCCAATGCTTCAAAAGAAAGACATCAGACCAGTCGAGTAGAGAAAAGACGAGCAAAAACTAGTGAAATGGGCACAGATGCCCGCTGCAGGCAAACAAATATTCTTGCTTTTTCCCATCCGTCAGCGTGTCTCTACCAAAGCATGCGAGCCAACCCATTTCTTAGTGTCCGAGAACATTCAATCGACTCGGCCAGCTACCTAAGCTGTTGCGTGTCGCGCCTCACTCTGATCGCTTGGTGCCTGATTGTCCCTCGCTCTCTTCTTCGGTCCTAGTCGGATCTTCACCAAACCTTCAGAATTGGCGCGCCGCCCGCGCAAGCTTCCAGGCCTGCAAGGACAGGAACAGGAATAGCATCGGACGAGGGAGATTGCCTGGCGCAGAGGTCGCCGCTGTTAGTGCCAACGACCGGCACCCGTCAGTCGCTAGTCTCTGCTCTAGCGGCACGTTGCGTGAGGAACTACTTACAAAGTGTGTTAGCTAAGAAAGTGAAAAGCACCAGCACGCAGTACTGTACTCCGTACAGAGTTTGCCATTGATCGACATCTCCAGCAGACTCAGTGGCGTGAGTGAATTTGACTTCCAGGTTCTGGGAAGCTGTTTGGGCAGCAATGAAGTCACGAGACGAATGTGTCGTGTTGGTGATGATATTGGCGCTGCTATCATCTCATTCTCATCTAATGTTTATCTGACCACCCAAGTCTCGCTCAGCTCGCGCAGCTGTCAGATCCTTCTGTCCCTCAGGTCGGTAATCGCTAGGACCTCTGCTCATACGTTGTCAATCTTGCATTCCTTTGCGGTGAAGAAGCGTATGCGCAATGTGGAAATGCCGACTAACATGAGAAAGCCTATAGCTCGGGCATTTTTCTCATCGATTAATCCTTTTTTTTTCCCTCTCTCGTTTTTTGCTTCGCAATGGCGCCGGCGCTAACAGCCACTACAAATGATCCGAGCTCCCCTTGCATAAGTCAGCACTTGTGAGCTGTGTGTGTGATTATGTAAGAAACCCTGTTCTCTTGTGTTTGTGCACGCGTTATGCAGGGGTACGTCTCTCTGGTGGGTCCCCTGCACGCCGTCCAATTACTCCGAGCTGCCATCCTTGTTACTTCTGCTCCCTCCTCTGCATCTTCCTCCTTCACGCCCAATAAGAGTCGATTCCAACGTGATGGAAGCAAGGTCCTCCCCAGTTCCCCGGCTGCAAGCTGACTCTGCCGTTCAAGAGCATCTTCAAGGGGCGCACCATGATCCATTGCACCCGCTCGCAAAAGGGGGCAACGAAAGAGGGGTTGATTTGAGAAAGCCGCAGGCAAAATGTCGTTGTGTCTCTCTCCACGAGCAAGCCTTGCTTGCAAGAAGGAGGCTGGTGTTTAAGACAACAGCTGACAGTCCCTGGCAGATATCGAGGCAATGTTGTACGAAATACGGATATCCGGCCGCCGACTGCTACGTCCGTACCGAGTCTCATCTCTCATCAAGAGGAAGAAAAGAACCGATGGCGGTTCAAGGGTCTTGGTCGCAGTCGCTTCCCTTACTATCACCGTCAAAGCGCAACAAGTCCTGCGGCTGTCCATCGATAGACACAACGGCAGGTCACATTGGTACCTGATATCGACAGCCCTCTCATCTCGTACAAGGCCGATTGGGTAGCGCCACGACGCCGAGCCGTGAACCACTCCACCTGCTCCCATTTCGATGCGACTGCTTCCTTCGTCCAGAGCCGTCGGCTTTTGACTCTGCGCCGTCTGCTTCTGCCGCATCCAAGTTTGCAGTAGCTCCTCTACCGAACTCCTCGCAGACTATCGTACGGATACACATCGTGCCAGGTCCATCAAACGATCCCCGATCATTTTGACGAGCTTCACCCACCATGGCTCTTTTCGGTGTTTCTCCGTACCTGATGACAACCGTCCACAATGTATCCATGAATTGGGACTCCGCGTTATAAGTTTCTACCACTACGAGCCAAGCCGACTTCAACATCATCTCGCCACTAACGTAGCCCAATCTGCGACCTGTACGGATACCCCCGCCAAACTGCGCATCCTACGGCCTGCCCCGGCTGGTTCCACGCATCTAACAAACGCCTCCGGCCACCGTCCCCGAAGCCCAAGGCCCACGCCCACACCAACGCACCCAAAACACCAAAATAGCGTTCCCGGAATCTGGTTAACGTTCCGCTGGCCCCACCGGCCTCGGCCCCAAGACTGTGCGCGCGCCTGGCCTGGTTGTCGTCTCTTGCCCTTGGTTTGTCGCCTTCGTTCGCCTCTATCGAGACCGTTCTGTCCAGTATCCACAGCATGCAAGCCCGATCGATGGGAGGGAACCAGCAGATTGAGTTCTCCCTTCCATGTCCCTCCATGACTCGAAGATCCTCATGTGATACGCAACACAGGAAACGAACCGGTGCAGCCGTTGCTCGAACTCAAACTGCGAACCGGCGTCTGGAGTGCGGCCCGCGATGTGACAGAGGACAAGCCCGCCGCGCCCCGTTGCGCATGCCCGACGCTGAGCCGGCGTGTACGCTTGCGCAGCGGCCGATGAAACCTTAGGCGGTCAGCGCGGCGGTCTGCAAGTCCGCATTTCAATCGCTTGGGACTACTGTCTTCCACTTCTCACGTTTCCCTACTACCGGTGTCACTCACTTAGATTAGCTGTGCCATCATGTTTTCAATCACAGTCACACCTCACAACGTCAAGTCTCCAAGAGGAGGTGCAAGTTTCCCTGAATCCGGGCAGCACTCAACCTGAAGCACTGCAACCAACAGAGAATTTATCCCTGTTGCTACCGACCCCAGACAGCTCACTGATTGCAAGGGTACACGGCGAACACGAACGCGACGCCAAATGCCCCTCCAATCTTGCAGCTTAATGTGTGTGCTCCAGAGGTGCTACTGTCGACTCAGACATCCGACATCAACGTTGCAGAAAGAAGATATCTTGCTACCTGTGGTATTGGCCATGTGACCATCTAGGCAGAGGCCGAGTCTGATCTCCTGCGCAGTCCGATGTGACCCACTCGTTCGCACCTTCTGCCTGCGAGCAATTAATCACCTGCCCAGGATACCGTCATTTTCAGCGGAAAGATGACCCGAATGCGTCGAATCGGCTTTGCAAGCTGCTTGGGCTGTGACCCCTGTGGACGCCAGTTTTGACTCTTCTGTGCATGTAGGAAGATTCATGACCTGCAAGGTCTGATTTCTCTTGAGAGCCTGGTCACGAAGGCGACTTACTATGCAGAACGCATGACGTTCGGGCGGGTACCAGATACTGGAGATGAAGGCCAATTGAGGTGTACATCTCAGCGGACCGTTGTGATATTATCTATAGAAAAGGAAGAACAATATGGCTTGCTTGGTCTCCTCCTAAGTGTAGGCTATGCCGACCCTTATTCAGAGTATGGTTCTTCCCGAAATTACTCACGGCAAAGCTCTGTCCGCTAACGACAACCCGCAGACTCTCGCCGGCCTCGTATTCAACCCCGAGCGCCCAAATTCCAATGTCCAGCCTGACTACCTCGCCGGGCGTAATCTTCTCCTCCTTCTCGTGCGGGTGGAACGGCCAGTGTGGGTGCATGCTCCTGGTCTCATCGATGGCTCGATGAGAAGCCCGGAGGATGCCCACAGGGCCCTTGTACAGCACGACTTCCGTCTCTTGCTCCGGCTTGAATTCCTGGAACGAGTTCACGGGTATGCCCTTCCATGGAATGTTAAGGTTCTTCATCTGCTTCCCATCTTTGTCGAGCTTCTGAATCATAACGTACACATCCATGTCGTCGTGATCTGGGCAAGACATGTACAGCACGGCTTTGGGTAGGCCCATGATGTTGGTAGTTTCGAGAAAGGTATGAGTAAAGCTGACGTTTCCGCCAGACTCGGAGTCGTAGCTGACCGTCGTCTTCGTCTCTGGCGCAGTAGTGGAGAGGAGCGTCTCCTCCGTGCCAAGAAAAAACTCCTTGTACTGCGTTCGCGCCGGCGGGAAATCCTCCTCAACAATATTCTCAATCGCCTGGGGAGTTTTCTCGCCAAACCGCAGCAGAGACATCCTCACCTTGGGCGTCTTCTCCCACCCGTTATCGACGCCCTTGAGGTACCGGTCAAAGAACGCAAACAACTCATCTTTGGCCTCAGAGTTACCCCAAAGGTCAAACCACTCCTGCCACGGATGCCATCTCAACCACTTCTCCTTCGACTGCACCTCCAACCAGGCCCGGATGGCACCCATACCGTGCATCGTGTTCGTCCACGTGCCCGTAATATACGTTGGCACATTAATCTGCTTCATATCTGGCCTCTTGTCGTTCCACCACGCGTTAGCAAGCGGATGCCGCGCGTACATCTCGCGAAAGCTCTCGATACCGCCGCGGCCTTTCAGCATATGCTTGATAATCAACTCATCAAATAAGTCGCCAGCGTACACGCCTCCCCGCGCAAACTGCTCGCGGTACAAGTCTCCGCACCCTTCCCACGGCGCAATGGCCTTCAAGCTCGGCGGTCGCAGCGCCGCGATGAACCACTGCGCGATTGCGAGGTGCGAATTCCCTGCGAGTCCGACGCTGCCGCTACACCAGGACATCGCCGCCACGGCCTCGATGGCATCGTACCCGTCTTCGGCTTCTTGGCCGCCCATGATGACCATTGGTGTGTTCTCGTCGCCACTGTCAAAGGCACCGCGCGTGTCGATGTTGACGATGGCGTAGCCGCGGGGAACCCAGTCCGCCGGGTCAGGCGCCTCGAACTTTTCCAGGCCGGAGAGCGTGCCAGACGGGATGCCGAGGTTCCATGGCGTCATGTAGCCCAGCGATGTGAGACCGTTGAACTTCTTGCCAAAGGGGGACCAGCATATTAGCGCAGGCACTTTCTCTGTGGTGTTTGGCGGGCGCAGTACGTCTGCGTAGAGTGTCGTTCCGTCTCTGACTTTGATAGCGATGTCGTGCTCTAGTAGGATGGCGGAGGGCAGTGGGCGCGCGTCTGGATGAGGATGTTTCCAGCCAGCGGGTAGGGTCTCTGTATGTGGATTGAGGCCGTCGTAGCCATCACGACCGGGTGTTGGTGCATTCAACGGCTCGATAGGCACTTCTAGACCGGAGAACCTTGAAGACGGCATTATGACAAGGGCCTTTTTCTCTCTTGCTAACTTGTTCTTAGGTCGGAGAGCGCTTTGCTATAGTGTATCCAGTGAGACCGTTAACCTCCAGTTGCAAGTCCCGGTCTACTTGTACAAAGGCCATCTTCAAAGACTTCATGACTTCGGCTTGTACAAATTCCAATTGAGTCTAACCCCTCCTCTTCCGGCCCTCCGCGGTCATGAAAGGAAGAAGTTGCTGTCCCGGCTGCTTACGGGGGTGGGGTGTGATGGAGTGTCGTCCAAGTCGGGAAGAAAACAGGCCCGCCAACTCCCGAACCGAGCGCCTTACACTGGACTTAGCTACCAGCCGATGCCGAACCGAAGCATTCCCCTCGAATGTACAGTACTAGTGTAGTGAATATCCCCCACCACTCATCCGCCCCGTACCGATGGGATCAAGCTAGACTGTTCCGAGAGGCCAGGAGTAGCTTTCGGCAGGATAGCGGAACATGCTCTAGAGTTGTTGCACCTGCCCGAGCTCAAGGTACTAGTTAGTCTAGAGGCTTACGGCTCGGTGGGCAGGAAGTGTCTTGATCGGTTCAACACTTTGGATCATCAAACGTTCATGTTGCCTATAAACACAACGATTCATTCCGTTACATAGACACGAGTAATATCTAGAGAAGATCAAGCTTTCCTGAGGCATTGGATCTCACACATACCTTATTCAACAGAAAGTTTCCCTCATCTGACGCTTTCATCATGGTCATCGCAACCGACTTTGCAAAGCCTTTGGCGACCATCCCGGTCCCAGACGGAAAGAAGATTGTCAAAAATGCATCAGCCACGGCTCCCTTGAAGCCTCAG